GTGCATCATTAGCCCATCTGTGTCTTTAATAAGTAACTGTGTGGGCTCTTGCAGTTTAAATATTTACTTTAAAATAATAAAGGATCCAAATGAAACTGCGATACATGAGAATATCTGTCTCTGATGTTTTAAGTGGAATGAGAGTAGGTTTGTACAGTAGATTTGCAAACTATAAACAGATGTGTTTTGATGACCTTCTCTCCTTTACCTGGTCTCCATTTATAAAGTGCAAGTTCACAGATTAAGCTTCTCAGTATTTTACATGCACCTGGGAGAATCTACATGTGTTTCTTTCTGTTGAAGTTGTGGAGAGAAGTCAAGACAGTTAATAAAAATCAAATTTGTCATCAGTAGTAAAATACTTTTGCAGTGGCATTCTCTCACTCCACTGTCAACTGCAACCTGAGAAAGACACTGCAGGTGCCCAAAGGGAGATACACGCACCTTTGCGCCTTGAGACGGTCACTCCTCCAGGTCACTACTGAGGACAGTAAATGAGTCTCACTCCTAGCTCTGCTGTGATCAGAAAGGGAATGGCAATTTTCAGAAGACATCCTAGGAGACTGTAATTCGTGCAGTTGCAGTCTGCCTGTGACTCTGTCTGGGCAAAGGAGAATGTCGTGGGTTAGATATGAGATTTGAGATTGTCCACCCATACATTGGAACTAGCCTCCTTCATGAAAACTCGAAGAGGCAAAGTTAAGTTTCATGACACTCTGTACAATTTCATGTATTAATTGCCATTATTTGAGGAAGATAAATAAGTTTCATCTTGTTTCACAGTTAGAGAGAAGGATAGGTGGCTTCTGCTCTCACATATGTGTCCTGAGTCAGAGCTGCTTCTTTCTCTTCTCCAAGTGACTTTGTTTTGCCTTTTCCTTTGAGTCCAGAATGAATCCACTCTATTCATAGTTTGTTTAAGGGAGACTGAGTTCTCTCTCTGGCACTGTTTGGTACCTCTTCTTGCTACTCGCTTTTACAGCATGTGGTCTTTGAAGTTTGAATTCCAACCTCCTTCTGGACGAGCACTAAGGAAAAAGGCAGCCTTTAAGGTTAGGCAGCACAAGGTAAATTTTCAGCCCCATGAGCAGGAACTCAGTTACATGACTTGCATTGCCATTAATGGGGGTCATGCTGGTAAATTCCTGTACACCACATTGAACATTTACTCATGAGTGCAGAACTGGCACAGCTAATGAAACTTGCCTTTCGGGTAGCATGGTGTTTCAGGAGATGAGTCTGACAGGCAGAAAGGACTCCTAAGTAACCAGATGAAAGTCTAGCTTTTAACTCCTTGAACATATGTCCAGAAAATAATAGTCTGAGTTAATGCTGGTTAGTGTTATCTGTTCCTGCTGTTAGGGTTTGGTCTTGCTCCAGTAGGATTCCACAGAAGCAAAGATGATGCCTGTAGTGTAAATATGTGTGCGGTCATTTGGTGGTGGCAATTTGCTTTCTTGTGTATTTCCCAAGTACTACTTACTGTTACTTATTTTCTTTCAAATGTAGGCCAGCACTCTTGCCAACACCAGCTTCTATAATCACAAACAAGGTATTTTTTATAATTTTCACCCCTGCTACTTTCCCCAAGATGACCCCTTCTATGGCTGAGCATCACCTGGTGATTTCCAGCTTACATTACTCCTGGGCATCTTATCCCCATTTGTTCTTGTACTATATCCATTGCAGTGATAGATAGCATCTTCTCATTTCCAAAACTCTTCCTTAGCCTTTGCTAGGAGAACACAGCAAGTCTTTCTTGTCTGTTTGGTAAGGTAAGCTTCCCATTGCCCTGGCTGCAGTTCTGTGCATCTGCACTAGTTGGAAATTATTTTTAATAAATGAAATAAAAATTGTCCACAATATTCTATCCTGTTCAGTGTAATAAAATTTCCTTCATACCTGTCTGCACAACGGCCCACTGTTGTATCGCCTTTTTTACATTTTAATCACACCATGGTTCATAATTGGTTTGTAGTCAATGAATACACTTAATTTTTTATCATTTTTCTTCATATATAGGTGATGATCTTTCTGTGTGCAATAGAAATACTTGTCATTAGATCCCAAGTTTCATGTTCTGTGATTAATTCTCTTTCTAGGACTCACCTATCCAAAGTGATTCTTTTTTTTAATGCATGATACTCTAAACATCCTTTGTGTTACCAGCAAACTATATTTAGTATTAATTAAAATATTGAATTAATAAAATCAATTTCATGACTCAATTCTGAAGGAACTCCTAACTTAGGCTCCTTCTGCTCCAATCTTTTATTTATTTCACATTATTTCAGTTATAAAGTATTCCCTATGCTAGGTGCTGAGAAGATGAGTAGTGTAGTATTTGCCACATATAAGAGAAAAAAGAGCCCATGTCACATTAAATCACTCAGAGAATCTCTCTTTCCTTTCCCAGCAACATATTCCTCCATTTTGGGAAAAGTTTGTTCTGTCAAATGGGCCTTTTAACGTGTTCAGAAAATCACTATATGTTTGGGCTAAGTATGGATTGAACTGCCAATAGGTCTCTTTTCATTCACTACAATATTCCATGTCTTCTTCATGAACTTATGGCTGTGTGTGGCCATCGGAGCCAAAGAGGGGCCGCAGGTCTGCACTGCAACAACCAGTCGACATCTAGAAAAGCATTTTGCAATTTTTGTGTTAAATAAAAGTAGGAGGAAGAAAAATCAATTTGCTTCTGCAGATAGTTGACTGTGAAGGGGCAGCTGCAAACTGCTGAGTCTCATCAGGTTGCAATCTTGATTAACATTGGGCAGATCCCCCCTGCTGCGAGAATAAATACCCTGCCTTTGTCAAGGCTCCCATGTAAGAAACAATAGGTTATTTCAGTGAAGCACAAGAACCTAAATGTTAATCGAATCATTCCTCCAAATGAATAGAAGTAGCACTCAGAATGTAAACATTTTAATTTTGGAAGGGAAGGTCTGTCTGTTGGTTAATTTTCTGTCTATTTTTTCATTTACTTTGAAAAGCCACTCAATGACATTGCCGTCATTACATACAATAACATTTTCAGCCCTGCAAATATGTATGTTTCCTGTCTTTCCAAGCTAGGCAGTGGCAAACTCCACTTAAATCTGCCTTAATATCACTCAAGAGAGGTCAAAACCTTATACTGGGTAACTGCCAAACTGTGTGATCACATTAGTTCTTGGTAGAGGAAATGGAAAATACTTTCCAACTGGAATTAACACCAGGAAACATCTTTTAAAAATGTTTTTTATACATTGGTTTAACTGCACTTGGAAATAAAGCTGTATCTCTTTATGCATGATGAAAATTACTTTAGGTATTTTAACAAATTTATGTTTGTACAAGCAAGACAGAAAGAATAGGCATTTATCCCCTTACTGCTTCCTTGTTTGCTGTACAAAGAAGGGATTTCAGTGCACAGTTGAGCAATATGTGTTTTTAAAGCGAGTGTAGAGCAAACTACAGTATGATGCCCAGCCATCTGCCATTTTCATATGGTTGCAACTATTGTTGATCAACACATCGTAAAAGTATCTCTTGGCTTTCAGTTGTGCCGCGTGTCTGGTCAAATCCTGGTGACTTCATGCCTGTGGGCTGTCTCTTTGCCCATAGAGGAATGGCAGCAGAGCCAGGGGAGTTGAGCTCCTTGCTTCTCTTGTACCCATAAAGTTCTCAGAGATCATGCACTAGTGGTAGATTAGGACTCTGTAGCTCTCTACAAACACTAAACATGGAAAATGGTTTTCTTACACACTTTGCTAATTCTTTACTCGGGCTGATAGCTGCTGTTTATACGTGTGCCCTTTTTTAACAGTCATTCCTCCACTTCACTGGAGGAATCAGTCTCTTGAGTTTCTGCATAGCAGGTATCATCTCCTGTCAGTCACACTGGGGTACATCTCATCAGCTGGGAAATCAGTGTAGGTGAAAGGTATGTTTAGTTTGGTGGTTGGGGTTGGATTCCCGGTGGTTCCATAGGCTTTCCTGTCTGTCAGGATCACTGAATTTCCTCAGTTTTTGGTAGTTACTGAAGTGGGTGAACAGCACCTGTCAGCAAGGTGATTAGCAGAGCGAGCCAATAACTGGAGGTGTGAAGCTGAGTGTGATAATTCCAGTTTTGTGGCCCGCATTCACCAGGGGGACATTGTGATGGGGTGGGCAGGAGTTTCCTGCTGCCTGGGTGAATCCAGAGATGAGGGCAAGCCGGAGCATTTACTGCCACTCTAAAACACACTTTCTTCCCATCTTCCATACACCACCCATGGTGTCAGTCTGTGTGCCTGGACCAAAGCGGCTGCATGAGAAAGCTCAGATCCATTCATTATTTTTTGATTGTGCAGCTCCACAGGTCACCAGTCTCTGTTCTCCCATGACTAGAAACTGGTAGCTTCTCCGCCACCTCAGCAATGGGCAGTGGTTTTCCATGCCCTCCGTCTTGTAGCTGGAACAAGCAGTCTTCATCTAAGCTCCCTTCCAGTCATCAGACAACCTTTCACTACAGCCTTTGTAGGAACCTGCCCTCAGTTTGTGGTGGCCCTGACAGAGTACCACCATCAGAAAAAAAATTGTTTTAAGCTTTTAGCCTCACTTGTGATATTACATTGTTTTATGGTTTTGTGTCTTTGGGCAGAAACAATGTTAAAATTCAACTGACTTAATTCACTTGAGGTGAAGAGTTGCAGAATGAGCAGAATTCATTAGTTGCCTGTGCAGAAGTAAGAAAACACCTCTTTGAAGTGGTTTGGGCCAAAGTGGTTGAGCAGTGAAAAAGCCCAAAGCCACTTCTGACACTGAGTGTGTGTGGACCCTCTTTGAAGTCATCCGTTGGGGTTTTTTCTTGCCTCAATGTCATAAGTCAACTTAACTTCTGCTATTTTGTTTGCATTTCCTATTTTAGTCCCCTTTGAGGGGTAGGATGAAGTATGCTGTTGACCTGGCTGAACCAGCATTTAAATCCTGTGTGTATGTAGTATTGTATGACATGTGCCATGTATTTCTTGAAGCCCAACATTGGGCGATTAGGAATTCCTCATGGGCCTTCAGGAGAGAAGGTGGCGGTGGTGACCGTGGACGACTGTGACACAGCAGTGGCTGTGCGCTTTGGAAGCCTCATTGGAAACTACACCTGTGCTGCCCAAGGGACTCAGACCGGCTCAAAGAAGTAAGGATTCCCTATATGTGCCTTTTCAAGTCGTTCTCCCAGGGGAGACTCAATAGAATGTGGTGAACCATGAAGCAGATCAAGTGAGAAAAGCAGATATGATTTAACAAGAAAAAGTGACAAGGTTTAGATTAGTAGATGGAATTTGTTGGAGGGTGGAGTGCACAGAGTTTTGTGTAGATACAGACCAAATTACTGAATTTGTATAGATGTGCCCAAATTACTTGTATGATGAAAAAAAAAAAAAAGACCTGGAGGTCAGTGTGGATGGCCCCCAAATAACATCTACTCAATATGAAAATGTAGAAAGAAGGGCAAATAAAATATTAGACTTTATTAATGAAGGGGATGGCTGAAGAGCTTGTTACTTCCATCATTTAAGTTAAGAGTCCTATCTTAAAAGGAGATAGAAATAAAGGAGGCACAGAAAAGGCCATTGAAAAAATTATTAGGTTTTAAAAAAAAACTTCCCTGTGAGGAAAGACCAAAAAGATTAGTACCATTGAGTTTAAAGAGGAGGTGGACAGCAAGCAACATAGTGGGGATATAAAATAATGAGTGACAACATAAAGACCATTGAGATGCACATACTGCTCTAAAATCCTGAGAGAAAGAGGGACCTAAAAACTAGGGCTAATTCAAACTGACCAAGTGATATACTTTTCACACATTGCAGAGTCACTCAGTGGAAGCTGCCTCCACCAAATGTTGTTAAGACTAAGATCTTCAGATGATTTTAAAAGGGTTGGCACTGTATAATAGATAAGTCTTTATATCAAAATCTATAGCATCTCAGCCCTTGTGCTGAGGAGCATAAGGCAGCCCCTGGGTGACGGGAGTCAGAAAGTGTCCTGTAGCTTCACGTTTTTCCATAATTTTAATTTTCTTCTTCACATTGGCCACTGTTAGGGAGAGGTCATTGGATTCTCTATGTGTATGACAGCTCCTTCCAGTGTTTCTGGAAGGTCTGATGACAAACTCTGGAAGTGCTGATGTAGCAGAGGGAAGTGCATGGCAGCATGGGTGAACTAAACAGCTCAAATGTGCTTATAGAAGCAGGAAGATAAGGAACAAAATGAAACAAACTATATGCAAGAAATGATCAGCCTTTCTTTGTTTTTTCAGATCTTTGGACCTAACTGGCCCTCTCCTCCTTGGCGGTGTCCCAAACTTGCCTGAAGATTTCCCGGTGCACAACAGACAGTTTATTGGCTGCATGAGGAACCTCTCTATCGACAGCAAGCCGATCGACATGGCTAGTTTCATCGCCAATAACGGCACTCTGCCAGGTATGAGGGACTGCTGCCTCAAAAGTCAACACAAGAAATCTCTCAGCTGTAGCTGTGTGTGTAACAGGGCTTAACATGTTGAAGAGGACAGCACAGGGAGGAACCCCAGGAAGCGACAGGGGACAGAGGGCTCTGAACTGGCCCCCATCCCTCTGTTAGCACTGCTGAGGGCAAAGCATTTGCCCTAGGCCATGATACAGAGTCTCAAGGTGCTGCTGGGCATTGCACTGCCACCGCATCACTGACATGGCTGCAGCCAGACCTGCTCAGCACACTTTGTTTGTTTGAGCAAGGTGCAGTCCATGCCCAGGCCAGGGATGCACACAGTAGCCCGTGGCACAGAGCACACTTAGAGGATTAAGCATCATGGAGAAAAGGACCAGGCTTAGATCTTCTGCATTGCTGTGAGTTTCACCCAGGAATTTACTCCTAAATGAACGTTTTGTTTTTTTTTTTTTTTATTTACCTTTAAATGTCACTTTGCTCTGAAAGATGGTGGGATTAGTTACATGAAAAAGACAACGTTTTTAATGACTTTTTCATAAATTATGTTTGCTCTGTAAATCAAAATCTGCAGTCATTCAAATCTGAAACCTGTTTCATGAAGCAGCCTGCTGGAGTTTCTGATTTGGTTTCCAGTCCCTGGATCCCTCATCAGGGTTAGTTCTGGTGTACAAAATGTTCTCATCATGATAAAACTGGCTCTTACATGCAAGAGTGGCAAGTCCCTTCCTTCCACCCTGCTGAAGATCTGTATAAGAGCTAAATCATAGTTCATACGTTGCATTGTTCATGGATTAAGAAGGGAGTCGAAGCATAAGCTTCAAATTGCTATTTTGTCTTTGGAGACCTTTTTTAACAGTTATGTCTCTAATATTAGCTAAACACAAGTATTTATCTTATGGAAATATACATCAGGAGGGGCATGAAGTGTTTTCTTTAGGATGGATTTTTTTTTCCTCACTTGGAAACGTCTTTCCACATAGTTTAAAACAATGACATATAGTAGTGTTACTCCACTGTGTAACACTGCATATTGGCTTTCCCTGATTCATGTTTCCGTTAGATGACAGTAAGTCACAGCACCAGTCGACCTGCCTGTCTCCAGCAGTGGATGCCAGGGGAAGAGTATAAAAACAGGACAAGTATGCAGTGATATTTCCCCAAATTTTTCTCTTAGATCCTAGAGATTTACAGCTCAGTGACTGTATTTAGTAGCCTTTGATAGATTTGTCTTTATGAATTTGACACTTGGCTCAGCTCACATAAACTTTTGCCATCCATATTTTGCTTCACTGACTTCAAGGGTATTGAAAAAACCCAAATCTATAGTGGTCATGTCTTCTTCTTACGTAAAAACTCGGATAGAATCATTCAGAGTCTTTTTCTTGTTAAAACCATGCAAAGTAGGTATTCTCCTGAATTTCAGGCTGTGCAGCACAGAGGAACTATTGTGAAACCGACTGGTGCCAGAATGGAGGCACATGCATCAACAAGTGGAACACGTACATCTGCGAGTGCCCAGTACGCTATGGAGGAAAAAACTGCGAGCAAGGTAAGATGCGAAGACCTCTTCATGCGTAGTCATGTGTGCACGTTTCGTTACCCATCATTAACATCTCATAGCATGTATGTCAAACTGTGATGCTTAAGGGATAGGTAACAGAAGATTGCAAGTAAGACTGAAAAACACCCATTATCTGTTTGAAATAATTGGAGAGATCGCCTATATAGTAAATATGACAGCTGGCATACTGTCACGAATAACAACAGCTTTCATTGATTTACTTACATAAGCAAAGTAGTTCCACAGAACTTGTCAGTATTTAGGAATTTCTTCATAGTAAAAATGCCTGATCCTAAGCCCCTTTAAATCAGTGGACAGAATTCTGTTGATTTTATTGGGCTTTTGACTCAAACCAGGAATGAATGTGCAGTTTTAATCACCACTTTCTTGGCAAGAAGGCAGTCTCTACTGAGTACAAGCACTTCAAGTTTTACTGGGTTTTCCTTGATTAAACACAGTATACATATATGTGTAAAATCTCATTAATAAAGGATGAGGAAGGTGCAGCAGGTGTGTTTTATAGGGCGTGAAGAACTTGAAGTTAGTTTCTTCCCAAGGAACCAAGGAGTCACCTGCATGAGGGGTTCCGTGGGGTCAGTGCAACAGCGGGCTGCCTGCTGTAAGGTGGCACCTCCGTGTCTGGGGAGGATTGCTCGTTTGGAGTCTTCCTGGAGGCTTTCAGTGAAGAAAACGTGCTTAAACTAGGCATGGCTTTCCTAGAAACAGAAGGCAAATTTCTGGCCTCTGTTGCAGATGTGATAGGTCTTCATTTCCATTAGACTCCAGTGACACTTAGCCCAGAATAGTTTGTAGTGTGATCAAGGATTTTGTTCTTTTGATGTATGTACCCCAAATCAGACATTCTTGATTACTGTCAGCAGGGGTGGACCCTGGAACAGCAGGTCTCCAAGCTGAGGCACACACACCGCAGTGATTTGTAAACCACTGTAGCAGCCCAGATCTGGGTGGTGGCAACTGCTTTCCCCTTGCCTGAGAAGCAGCAGCATAGGAGGAGACACAGTTAAGTTTCTAGCTCGGAAATAAGGGTCTGCCAGGTGAGGGACAGGGGAAAGGAATGCTGGAGGCCTCTTCCTATGTTCCACCTCACACAGAGCCCAGAGCTGCTATTACTGCCCCTAGTGAGGTATCTGCTTTCTATAGCAGCTCCTCAAATATTTGGAGCTCTCCAGGTCTGTATGAAGATCTAATTTTTCCTTGTGTCTGGCATTTTCTTCATGATAGGCTGGTCTCTGTGGTACAAACACACGCTGATGTCTCCTGAGAGAGTGCCGGGGCCAGCTCTGGTGTGACCTGTACTGGGGTGAATGGGGAGTAGTGCTATCACATGCAAAAACTATCCTTCCCTCTGTCTTTGTCTTAGTTTTGAAATGGCATTTCAAAATTTGATCAAATGTGTGTTTTATTCATTGTTTTCTTATCCCAAACTCAACACTAAATCATGAAGTTTGGGATTTAGAAAATCACCTCAGAACTGCTGTGTAACCATCATTGGAAACTCATTTTAAATTCAAATAATACAGATGACAACAATCACAGTATCACTGTCCCCCGCCCCAAGTGGTCTCCTCTGCCTACAGTGGTGTGAAAAAGGCCCCTTTGTCATTCGGTAACCCCCCTTCTTACTGATGCCTCAATTTGTAGGGGTTTTTTATAGTTCGAGGGTGGCAGGCTGCTTGCTTCTTTGATGACGTTTGTGGGGCAAAGTGTCCCTAAGGAAAAATTGGAAGCCAAGAAAGAAATTAATTTTTCTGAAATGTGACAAGAGATTTCAGGAGCCTGAAGTTAAAGTCAGGAAAAATCACTAATATACAACACTCCTGGCTTTCACGTTGCTTATCTGAGTGCTCAAGTATGATTCTAACAGCATTAGCTATTATTAGGAAACTATTTTTTCAGAAAGTTTTAGCTAGAATATTTGCATTCTTATGTAGGAGTGATTGGCTGATGCATTTCTTCAATCCCTTTGGCGGTGCTGGATCTACTTCAGGTCCACAGACAGCAATGGCTTTGGCAGGTTGAGAATTCCACTTTTTCAACTGCCCACTCTTCAGAAGCTCTGGGATCTGGTCTGCACTAGTGAGACTGGGGTGGTTTACCTTCACTACCCTCCTCCTAGGACCTGCTGACTCACCTTCTGGCAGCTCTTATCTCCCTCTGCTGACATATAGAAGGGAGACAAATTAGGGAAAAATTAGTTTCACCTTTGCTGTAGTTTAATGCTTTTTAAAATTGGGATATTGGAATGCTCCAAAGAAGATCTAGCAGCTGTGCCCAACTCACTCTTGGCTAGCTAATGTCACACCACAGGTTTACACCAAAACATAAGCTGTCACATGTCCTACAACCAAACTGCAGGTGACATCCCAGTGTTGGCAATGGGTTTCCCCAGGCCCTCTGTCTCCACCGTGAATACCCCTCACGTCTTCCTGATGGCCTTCTGAATGCAGGAGTCTCTTAAACGTGCGTGTAGATACACAGGCAGCACTTCAAAGTAGCAAACCCTGAGAAAGCAATTAGTTTGCATCTCTGTATCAACAATGGCAAGGAGATGCTGTGCTTGGAAACATGTATGCTCGCCTCTGTGGTGACAGGTGGTCAGGTCCCATCTGGGTACATCAGATGTGGCCACCAGCCCCTCCATGGAGACCTCTGGTCCCAGGCATGGGGAAGGGCTGGGGGGAGGAGGAAGGTCAGAGGGGACTAATGGATGGGGATTCTGTTTCACTAGCAAGGGAAGGTGCACCCTGGCCTGGAGGAAGGGAGGGGAGCTGGGAGGAGGTGTGGGAAGGGAATGGTATTTGCAAGCACCGATCACCACGTGAGAAAAGGAAGAAGGTGGCTAATTGCCATGCCAGTCCAGTTCTCCCAGGAGCTGAGCTGAAATGCTTGCAAACAGCATTCACAGCCTCCAGCAGGTGGGAAGCCTGCAAGGTTTGCATCCTGGCCTCTCCAGAGGCAGGCAGACTTAAAAATTTCAGCAACAGTCTAGAAAACCGCTAGCAAAGAATTTGGAGGTTGAGGTGGTTGTGAAGGTCAGCAGAGTAGAGGAGGAGGGAGACAGCTCACACTTTTGCACGCATGGAGCAGAAGGAGGAAATGATCGTGCTCAACATTGATGTCCTGGTTACTTTTACATTGGTGTCGTGCAGTGTGGGCTGGTGAATCATGCCCTGGCCCAGAGAGCTGGAGCTCAAGCACTGAATTCAAGTTTTAAGCAAGCTGGGGACATCCATGTGTGGTGGCAAACTGATTTAAATTGCTGTCTGGGTTTCAAGAGCAGGCTCCGCTTCAGTTGTTCCACCATATGCCCCCACTAGCATTTGTGGAGGACTGAGTGTGACCGTGAAGGGGAGGTCACAGCCTGGAGCAGGAGGGAGAGGGGCTGCCCTTTGGTGCTGCCAGCAAAAAACCCCAGGGTGGGATGGTCAGGTAAACACACCTTAGAGAAGGGCAAGTCAATTTGTACCTCTGGCTTGGCCAGTGGTAGTCCACTAGTCACTAACATCTTTTTTCTCACAAATAGGGAGCTGAAGGGCTTGCAGCCAGCACTTCGCTCCAACCCCTGTGCTCTCCTACGTAGAGCCTTTCCCTTTACAGAGACCAGCAAGGCAGAGATATCAGAATTTGGGGTTTGGTGTTTATTTCCTCAAAAAAAATGCAAATTCATATCAACCTGACGCCATCTTCTGCAATGATGTCATTCCTCTACCTTTTTTTTAAGGACTTGCCATTTTAAAGTAACATGTACATAGTTGTGTATACATGGTCTCTCTTACTACAAGAACATCCAGAAGAGTCAGCAGATACTGTAGTGTGGAGCAGAAGAGGAAGGAGACCCCTGTCATCTCACTGACCATCCACATGGGCTCAGTGCATGACAAGATACAAGGCTGGGTGCCAATCCATGGTGGTTGTACCCAGTCTCTAAGGCCTGCTTCCACTTGCAAAAAGCTGCCATGAACTTTACTAGCGTGCCTGTGAGGGAGGATGTTAGGCAGGGGCTGACTGCAGATCCCCCTACAAGGTGCCACACATGGTGGAGGTGACGTATGAGGTGCTGCAAATAGCAGAGTTCCCACAGCTTGGTTTGTGCTTCTAGTCAGTGAGATAAACTAATCCATGGCACTGTAGCTCTTGTTACCTGAGGTAACTGCTTTAAAACTCTAAAGGGTGGGTATTCCCATATTTTCCATCAGCAAAGTGCTTTCCATTGAAGGCTGTCATCAGTGTCTCCCTGTAGGAGCTGTATTGGTACAATGTTAGGGAGGAGGACAACTCTTCAGCTGTCATCTCAGGATATTTAAGGAAGATGATTTAGGCAATTCCACATGAGCTTTCACCCTGTGAAAAGGCTGCATAGCTGAGACAGCTGAATAATCTGATCCTGGAGTATTTATAATTAATTAAGATTTCCTGGTGCCTCCCAGCCTTTTCCTCTGTATTTGATCTGTTAATTAGAAGCAGGTAATCAAGGATATGTTGAGAACATCTGCAGCAAGCGTTGCCCTCATACTTCCTGCTCTGTCCACCCACTCATCAGCAGAACTGTATCAGTAGAGATCCTGAGCTTACCTTTCCAGGAACATCTCTCCCCTGCGTAATGCCATAGCAGTGTAGGGTTGCTGCCTTTGAGTGCAGGCATTGAGACAAGGTACATACCCCACGACAAGAGCAGGTTGTGAATTCACAGTATTATCAGCTGCTTCATAGTAGCTCGTCTAGATTGGCTCTTACTCTATAGTAGATTAAAGAGGGACTAGCTACCTTGCACCATCACCATGGCATAGCGTCATTTCTCCTCTTAACCTTTGTCTTGAAGGATACCAACCATTTCTCTCCTGTCTTTTGATTTACAGCAATGCCTTCTCCTCAGCGTTTCAGTGGTGAAAGCATTATCATTTGGAGTGACCTTGACATCACCATCTCTGTGCCATGGTACATTGGGCTGATGTTCAGAACCCGGAAAGTCAATGGCATGTTAATGCAAGCCAATGCTGGGCCTACATCCAAGATCAACATTCAGGTAAAAATGTGGCTGCCTTTGGTTAGAAAATAATTAAGAAATTCTCCCTCATCCCCGTCAGTGGATATGGCCATGTGAACTACACAGCTTCATCCACCCAGCTAAATTCACATCAATAAATAAAATGATTTCTTCAGCCTTTTACCAAAATCAAAAGCTCAATGATCAAAAGATCACTGTAAAATTCAGATTCATTGGTGTAAGCTAAGTCTAAGGTAGTGTTGTGCATAAATATAGATGCAAAAATATGTCTCTTGATTGTTTTGGGGTTTTTTGTTTTTGTTTTGTTTTTGCTACGTTAGGGTCTTAATGTCTGAAGTTATGTGAGGAGATATTGCAAGCGTTCCCTCCTTTACTGTTCTGTCTTTTTTCTCTTTTGAGTTGTCTTGGGAAATGTTATTATCTTGCCCTCTACCCCCCTCCTGCATCAAATATAAAAACTTAGCAAAAAACAGACAGGAGATATTTTTTTCAACAGATACTGAACAACTACGTGCAGTTTGAAGTGTACAGTGGCCTGAGCCAAGTTGCTAGTTTGAAGATGAGCCAGTCACGAGTCAGTGATGGGGAATGGCATCATTTATTAATAGAGCTGAAGAGTGCTAAAGAGGGTAAAGACATCAAGTACCTCGCTGTCATGTCCTTGGACTATGGGATGTACCAGGTAAGGCAGTGTCATAATTTTGCCACTAAGCACTACAGAAATATTTTTAAGGAGAAAGTAGGTTAAAGGATTATGGACAAATACTTATGCTGTGAGCCATGTTCTGCAGAGATTTGTGCCCAGTTAAGTTATATTAATTCATTAAGCCTAATGATAAGATATCTTCCGAACAAGTCTGTAAAAAGCCATATTCAGATCCTCACTGCTTTGATATTTGTTCTGCAATTTACAGTCAGCTACTGCTTGACTCCATCACTACAGAAAGTAGGCTGTCTGTGTCACAGAGGATGACAATGCTTCTTACTGACTGTCCTCTTCCTCAACAGAGCACTGTGCAGATTGGAAATCAACTACCTGGACTGAAAATGAAAAGCATCATTGTGGGAGGTGTCTCTGGAGACCAGGTCTCTGTTCAAAAAATTTTATGGCTGTATGCAGGTATGAAATGAAAAGTGTAGCAGCAAACTTCAAAATTTTAAGAAAATACCCACTTGAAAATGCGAGATTTTCTTTTCCATCCTTGCCCGAATATTTGTGATTTCTCCTTCAAAATATCTAAGAATCAAAATATTACAATCCACCTACTTTCCCAGGTACAAATCTGGTCTCAGAGGGGAACAGCATTTGAAAAAAATCTGGGTTTGGCTCATCAGGTGATGTTTCTTTAAAATGTAGCCTCATGGATTAATGGAGGTAGTGAAACAAATAATACTGTATTCTGAATTAAGTCTCTAAATTAAAAAGAATTGTCTTTTGTCACCAGGGAGTAAGAATGGGAGAGACGTCTACAAATACAGCTACACTCAACATGAAACAGGCTATCAAGATCAATGTGAAGGAGGGTTGTGAAGTGGATAACCCCTGTGATTCCAACCCGTGTCCCCAGCACAGTTACTGCAGCGACGACTGGGACAGCTACTCCTGCATCTGTGACCCAGGTAACCCAGTGACCATCCTATGCACTCATCCAGGAGGTGAATCACATCTTCATGTGATCATCTGAAGAGCAGTGGCAGCAGCTGCAGGATGCTTTTAAAATGCTCAGCTTCTGATTCTTCCTCTTCCAATCAGTAATTTCTTTCTCTGTCTCTGTTGCAACCTTGAAACTGCAGTCATGGACTAAAGATCATTTGTTATAGGCAACGTACCAACCAAACAGAAAGACAGTTTCTGGTCCAAAGGGCTCTTTCTGTGCACCTCTCCTTTTCTTTTTGACATTTTTTTTTCTCTTTCTTTCCCAGCCTTTTCTGCTGTTGGCTTTCAGTCTCACACCCTACATCCTAATCGAGATACTTTGAATGTTTTCTCTGGTTTGGTGCATGTAGCCAGCACATGCTGTCAGCACCCAGCACAGTCACCTCCCATACACACAGAGAGAGAATACAGAACTATTTGTAACACATGCCCTGAATATAAAACTGGGAACCAAAGGCACAAGGGTGCCTCAAGCATGTTAACAGACTGTTGAAAAGAACAGCCCACTATCTTTTTTGCTGAGAGGGAAAAGAGTACCTTCTTCCTGACAGTATCTCAGGGGAGAATCTACTGATTATTGAAGATGTGTTATTAGTGTATAAGCTTAAAATAGATGGTCTTTTGGAGACATGCAAATCGTAAATTACAATGGTTGCTGTAATTTTATGACCTTGTCTCCCCAGGGTACTTTGGAAGAGACTGTGTTGATGTATGTAACTTGAACCCATGTGAGCATGTCTCCACGTGTGTGCACAAACCAAGTTCATCCCATGGCTACACCTGTGAATGTGGACAAAGCTACTATGGACAGTACTGTGAGAGCAAGTGAGAGAATTATTTTTGTTCTTAATTTCTTGATCCTTCCAGGTACTTCTTCTCCTAGTCCAGCAGTCCTCCCACTTCCTTTTCTGCTTTGGTTAGCATTCCTGTTACAGTTTGACTGTTCATAGTAGATGGTGTTTGCAGACTGCCTGCCTTTTGACACTCCTGAGCCATCTTCCCAGAAACCAGGCAAACTTCCATATACTCAGGGGGCAAATTTATTCAGCAGCAACTCAGGGGCTAGACCAATTGCGCTTTGTTAACACAGCACTGCATCTGGCTTGTACCTTGTGGTGGGCTTGGCCTGAGTTTGCTCTGTGCCTCTCCTTCAGCTTTCCCAGCACACACACAGTGATGCACTCGGTTGGGTGATAGAATGGCTTTGCAGTGTGGGTCCAGCCCCTGGGCTGGCAAAAAGCCATCTCTTCTGGCCAGTCTGGGAGGCATATGTCCTTTTGCTGTGTGGTGGAAACATGCTGATTCCCTTGTCACCAGCTTTCTGGTCTCAGATAAGCATTCAGCAACTGGCCTCCTTTTTTCCCAGTGACGGCACTTTGATTTACTGTAAGATGGGCCATTCATGATGTGCAAATGAAGTGCATTTATCTGCCCATGTAGGAATAGCTCATGTGATGTTTCCTTCCCTTTGAAAACTGTGAGCTTCTTCCTCTACCTTTTGTTGTGTGGGCTTGCAAATGTTGGCCATGCTGTTGCCAGATTAATCTTTCATTCCTCTGGATTAGCGACATAGAGATGTTTTCCCTTGTCATTATCTGCTGACATCACGTCAAGTGCAGCATTGTGGTTTTTCATGTTTTAAAGTATGGAAGTACAACAATGGCAATTACCATAAACAAAATTCAGCATGGTCTTTGAAACAAACAGCTTTCCTTTCCTAAAATGAGTAGCAGGGAGGGGATTCCTTGTGCATTATGCTGATCACAGACTCAGCATTGTAGTCCTTCACGCTATTGCTTGATGAAGACTTCCAGCTAGCAGAGACACCGGTTGCTGGCCCAGCCTCTTCCCAGAGCTCTCCTGGCCAGCACTAGTGTTGAGGCATCTGTGGAACAAGCCTGGTCAGAAGATCACCCAGAGGAAGCAAAACCAGCGAAAACAAGAGTTATTCTTCAGCAGGGGTAGCTTTTGAGTTGCTGCACACTCATAGTCTGAAGCATAGTCTTTGATTCATACTCGAGATCGAAGCTGCCACCCTTCCCTCTTACACATACCCAACCACATGTGTCCTCCCCTGTTGCAGAACAGGGATTTTCAGACCCTGTGATGAGCTGTCTGAGAAAGCCAGGTTGGCTGAAAGTAGTGACTTTTCTTTATAGCGTGAGCTTGCAGCCAGCATTGCACCTGGTGTCCCTGCAGGTTGGACAAGCATTGCTGCCCATGGCAGGGCCGGGACAGGAACCCATGGGGATGGCGGGTGGGATATGAAGTGCTGGGGAGCTGTACCCTGAGGCTGTTTGTGGCAGTAGGTAAACCCGGGCATGGTTTCAGCACTGTCTGCAGTTGCCTGTTCTGCTGAAGTGCTGGCACAGCCCAACACAGGCTGTCCAGCCTGCCCCAGCCAGTGCTTTCCCCAGCAGGGATCTGGGGCTGGTGGGACTGGGATGATTTCCCCTAGGCAGCGTGGGCCCTGTCGCCCTCTCCCAGAGGAAGGAGCACTGTATTTGCTCATACAGATGTATACTCCTTATAAAGAGGAGCTGGTCTTGTGTTGTGTTTTAACCCCAGCCGACAATAAGACCCACACAGCTGATCGCTCACTCACCCCAGGAGGGATGAGGGAGAGAATCAGAAAGGTAAAAGTGAGAAACTCATGGGTTGAGATAAAAACAGTCTAATCAGGAAAGCAAAAGTTGCACACAAGCAAAGCAACATAAAGAATTCATTCACTCCTTCCCATCAGCAGGCAGGTGTTCAGCCATCTCCAGGAAAGCAGGGCTTCATCACGCCTAATGGTTACTTGAGAAGACAAATGCTGTCACTCCGAACGTTCCCCCTTTCCTTCTTCTTCTCCCAGCTTTATATGCTGAACATGACATCATATGGTATGGAATATCCCTTTGGTCAGCTGGGGTCAGCTGTCCCAGCTGTGTCCCCTCCCAGCATCTTGCTCGCCTCCATCTTACTTGCTGGTGGGGTGGTGTGAGGAGCAGAAAAGACCTTTATCTGTGTAAGCACTGTTCAGCAATAACTCAAACATCCCCGTGTTATCAACACTGATTTTAGCACAAATCCAAAACATAGCCCTATACTATCTCCATATGGGGAAAATTAACTCTATCCCAGCCAAAACCAGCACATCTTGAAAGCATTTAGAGAACCATCCCCCCTATGGTTTTGTAGCACTGATAATGTTTATTTTCTTTTATTATAGTGTATATATATTTTTATAGGCATTGATTGTTGGCTGCTGCAGTGAGATACATTGCACTCTATAAGCTGACGGAGTTGAGTGCAGATTTGGCCCAAAGCTCTTTTTTCCCACCTTTTAAGAGGAAGCTTAAAATAGCTTTCTTTCAATGTGGTTTTCTTCTACAGGATCGACCTGCCTTGTCCCAGAGGCTGGTGGGGAAATCCCATCTGTGGCCCATGTAATTGTGAGACTAGTAAAGGGTTTGATTCTGATTGCAATAAGACCAATGGAGAATGCCGCTGTAAGGTAAGCAAAAGAAACCAGTCTTAAGTCAGAATTTCTTTCGTTTAAAAAGTAACTGTACCACTAACAACTACAACAAGTGAGTATCTGAGACAAAGTACACACAGTTGTGCTTTGTATCATATATATACGTGCACAGTGTAGTTAATCTTTACCTAAAACATTTTGCTGGCACCGCCCTTCACAAAATCATACTGTGCAGCTCTTATCTTATTTGCATTTGGAAAGCAAAACTGAGAGGATGAAAGCCTGGCTGTGATCTCTCTGAAGTGCAGCCTGGTTTATCGGGGGAGATCAGACCTGGGCGCAGAGAAGTGCTGGTGGCGTTTTGTGTAGCACAAGTGAGTAATGGCCGTGAAACAGCTCAGGCCAGCTGAATGAAGCTCTCCCTTGTGCAATGGCCAGCAAAAGGCTTAGGAACTGGAGACAGGTAGATAATATGAGAGGCTACATGCTTTCCTCAGTGACAACTCTGTCGAGTTGAAGAGGAATTTGTGTGGACAGGAAGGGACAGATGGGGGATGGCAGGAGGGGAGGTGCCTGCCTCCTAAAGGTTTTACAAAGGAATTCTCACAATAGGTTTTACAATAGCCTTGAATGACATCAGAGGAGCTGTGCCTTTGCAGACAGGCAGCAGCGAATCTGGCCTGCTACGCCTTTCCCAAATGCCAGCAGGACGCTCAGCAACTGTTGCATTAAATCAAGTCAGTAGGGTGCCAGCACCATGTTCTTGTGTAGTCGCGTAACGGCTCAGATCAAAAGCATTTACAGATGCAATTTGAATATGTGATCATTGGTTGCTCTCCACCTTGTACATGAAACATAAATGGACAGTGCAAGAAGTTTCCTTACTGGCTTGTTCATGACATACAGGAGTGGAATTCCAAAGTAGAGAAAACTGCAAATCTTCCAAGAGTACATTTGCTGGGCACTGGCAGCAAGGAGGAGTAAGTGGGCCCTCTGCCCCCATTGCAAATGGTGGTCTTAACCCTGGGTCTCTGTGGCACAGGGCAGCCCAGCCACCCCTCTGGTGCTCAGCTCTGCCTCTCCACATTGACTGGGCTAACGTAGCACACTTACCACAGCTGTTACGTTTTCTGTTAATATCATCATTATCCTGTGCTTTGCAAAATTAGCCCTTTTATGATGCACAGGCTCCTAGAGTAGGATTTCAGAAACACAAGCAATTTGGAATATAAGTCAAATACCTCATGTCTATCATTTTGGTTTTTTGTAGGCAAATTACTACAGGCCCCAGAGCAGTGACACCTGCTACCCCTGCGACTGCTTCCCCTCTGGCTCCCACACACGTGCCTGCGACATGGAGACAGGACAGTGTCCTTGCAAACCTGGCGTCATAGGGCGGCAGTGCAACCGCTGCGACAACCCCTTCGCTGAGGTTACTACGAAGGGCTGTGAAGGTACCTCCTGCCCAGCAAGTGCTGCTGATCAGCTGGGCTGTAGTTGCAGGATCAGAGCCACTAGCAGCAGGGAGATGGGGGGTGCACAGCAGTGGCCATGCGGCTGCGCCCTGGGGCACATGTGAGCCCAAAGGAGTGCCTTCAGCAGGGGCGATGGGAGCTGCAGCAGCCTAAACATGCAACCCTCTTCCTAAGTCTGTGCCAAAAGAAAAAAGCTGGTATTTCTTTATTTTTCATTAAATGGAAATATAGCAAGCTTAGCTGGGGAGAGCAAAACACTAATCCCAATTTTACTTGAAACCTGAGTTCATCTCCCAGTGCAGCATTGTATTGCTATGCCGCAGCTAAAAAGGTGGGCAAGAACCCTCACGCCTTCTGCCCGCAGAAGCTTTGCTGTGCACCTAGTGCCCTCTGCCTTTCTTCCCCTTCTTGCCCGCCCTGTCTTTCCTCTCACACACCCACCCTCCTCCTGTGGTCAGCACAAAGCTGCAGCAGCAGCCATCTCACCACAGTGTGTGGGTGAAATGAAGGGGAAACGTTTTCCCACAATAAAGGAGCAGGCAGAGATAGGCAGAGCCAAAATCCAGAGCCCCATAATCATCCTGAGCTTTCCTCTGCCTGTACCTGTCTGCCTGCACTGGTGGATAAGGAGCAGCTGATGGGTTACAGCTTGGAAGGCACTGCAGAGGGCTGGTATCCTGATGGGGCTTGTGAATTACAGGAAGGTCCTTTAGGCAGGTTGAAGTATCTCCTGTTGTGATTTTTATCTTGTCAGAAAAATTGCATAATTTCTTTTTCTGTTTTCAGTAATTTATAATGGCTGTCCCAAAGCTTTCGAGGCTGGTATTTGGTGGCCACAGACCAAGTTTGGCCAGCCAGCTGCAGTGCCATGTCCTAAGGGATCAGTGGGTAAGTTCCCTGGGTAGAACATTAACTATTTTATCTACATGCCTGTTTGAGGGGGGAAAAAAAGAGAAAAAAAATATGTACGTAGGGAATGGCATTAATTCAGTTGGTCTAGAGATTACAGCATAGCACATGCATACCACAAGCAGAAAAGTTTAGCTAGCTAAAACTCAAGAACGGCTAAAATACATTTTAGTAGCAAAAAATAAATACAAAGGTGCAGCAGATAAATACATATAAAGAACAGAAATTCTATATCTGTATTTTCAAAAAAGCACTGTCCAATTTTCTATTTATCAAGCAATTCTTACACATGTAACTTCTAGTTTCTAGCAACTTGTACGTGTCCTTTAGTGATACAGCTCCTTTGGGCAAAAATAAAATGAGGAAAATCATTTACATGATGATTGCTTTACTAGCATTGCAGGCTAATAAAGCTAAGAGTTACAACAGAACTTGTGTTTTTCCATCCAGTGTCTTTTGTCTAACCCATCAGTCAGACGGCTGAAAAATGCATTTTATGAAGCATGTGAGCTGTGTTGTTTTGTACAGCAGGCAAATGACAACCTGCTTTTTCACGCATGTCCCTGAAAATGTTTATCAGATTTTTGAAAACGGAGTTCACAATCTTTTCCAGAAGTTCACAGTCTTTTCATTTTCTGTGTGAAATGAAACCTCTGACTCATTTCGGCACCTGGTAATTCTCTACTGTGAGTGCTCCTCAGGCTCAATGAGTTATAAATGGTTATATGACTTCCCCAAATATTACTGGGGGGAGGTCACTGCCTGTAGGTGTGCAGAAGATTTGTGGTCAGGCAAGCTCCTGTTCTGAGGATTTTAGGAGATAGAACTGATTTTTTTTTTAAATGAAGCATATTTACATTATTAAACAGTATAAAGTTGAATTAAAATGTTTTCTCCACTTTTATTGCAATTGATCCCAGTGTTTCTTCTAGCAAATAGGCTAGCAGGCAAGGGTACTTACAGGAATTGCGCATTTTAAGTTAATTTTACAGAACGTTCAAAAAAATTAGCTTTATAATAATGAATATTCAGACGAAGAACCTGAGGCGTAATTGTATTCGTCTAATCATGGAAGAGAAATAATATAATTAGATATTGTTCAATTAATTATAATTCTTATTTAGATGTTAGTAATTAAATGGCTTAGACACATGCAATATGTTATGTGCAAGTTAACTAGCACAATGTAAATTTTGAATTGGATAACTTGCAATTCACTGTGAAGGATCCACAGCCAATAATCACATTTTAAAATTATGTGACAAATAGTACAAAATAACAGGCTAAATTAAACAGTAAGCTGCTCACAGAGCATTCACAAGTGGCAAAAGGCAATTATATATGTTGGCTGAAGTGTTTGCCACATGCAGTATGCAAAAGTGCTAGCATCTTTTGACATGAAGACAGTGTTTATCCAGAAGGTCTTCCTATATAAGCTATTGCACAGAAATCCAAGTAGGGCTATTTTTTCAGAAATATTTAGGAAGTGCAGTCTTTCTCATATTTGGTATTAATAAATTGCTGAGTTCATCTGAGAACATTAGGGCACTGAGGCTGAGAGCGGTTGGGCAAATCTTGAAGCTTGCCTAACTTTTCTCTAAAGCCCGAGGAAAAAAATTCCTGAAGATGAGTATTCTTTAACTTCTCTCAGACAGGAATCCCGGTTTGTAAAGTGAAATATGTGTGTAGCTCTAAGAAACTTTAAAATATGGAAAATCCAAAAGTCTAGGATATTTGAAATCTATTAAGATTTACCCAGCAGAATTCAGAACAATATTTACCATTAATGCTTTGTTTCCTTCAGGAAACGCAGTTCGCCATTGTAACATTGAGAAGGGCTGGCTGCCTCCTGAGCTTTTCAACTGCACCACCAACACTTTTGTGGATCTAAAAATCATGGTAAGCTGGGTTTCTCGGTTTTGCCTTTATTTTGTAAATGATCATCAATTTAGACTCCTATGTGATATCCCTGCACTCCATCTTTTCACTGAGTCCTTGAACCTCCTTGTTTCCCATCAGGACCCTTGTGCTTTTCTGGCTCTCAGTTACATTTTCCATTGAGTTGTCCTGTCAACACTTTCTCAAGACAAACACCATTTTGATCAAACAACTCCTTTGTGCCAAAAATCCCTAAATGATGGTTGTCTTTTTAACTTGAATTAAAAAAAAAAAAAACATATTTGGGTTTTTTCTTTCTTCTTGTCTCTGACTCAGAATGAAAAGTTACATCACAATGAGACCAAGCTGGATGGAGACAAAACCATACGGATCGTGAGAGTGCTGCAGAATGCCACCAAATACACACACAGCTTATATGGCAACGATGTGAGGACAGCTTACCAGATGATGATCCGAGTCCTCCGATATGAGAGCCAGCAGCAAGGGTTTGACTTGGCAGCCACGAGGGATGTGGAATTCAATGAAGTAAGATACTATATACTGTGCTGAGACTTTACAGTTCCCTTTAAAAGTTTTATGGCAATGGATAATTAAATTTGTTTTTGACCAAACTGGAGCAAATACCATGTAATTGCTCAATCTGTTTCAGAAATGAGTCGATTTTCTCTAATTTAGAATGCATGTGTGCATGCACAAATATGTGCATGTAATACAAATATTGTAGAAAGTGCTGTTACAGTAAATATCATCATAGTAACAAACAAAAGCAAAAATCCCCAAATGAAAAAAACTATAAAGTTGATGTGTTATTCCTGGATAAAATAGCTTTGTGTACCATATTCAATTTTGTTGAAAAACCTTCCTAATGTGATTGTTTTCATTTAAATGTGCAGTGAACTATGAGCCAGTTACTGACTCTGAACGTTTCTTACAGTTCAGTTTGTAAACATTTGAGTCATGTTTATTAAAGAGTTGGTACATTGAAAGACACTCCATACTGTATTGATATTTTAAGTGATGCAGGCACATACAAAAATGTGTGCCAGAGGGCTTCTGCTAGTAAGAATATTCATGAAAGACCCAGTTATTACCGAAGACCTGACAAGGTCTAGAGAACAAGCTGTAGCACCCTCCCCATCTTGGGCAGACATGCAGTTGTGGTGGAAAAATGTGAGATGTGCAGGAAGTTGGAAGTTTTCTATGGTCTGAAAATGTGAAGGTTGGATGACCCATGTCAGGCTCGTAAAGCTCTCTCTGTTCCCCTGTGTGCTGCAGGGTACTGCTGTCCACACTTGCGATACTATTTCCAAGATCCCAACCATGAAACAGCACAGACCAAGCTAAAACATCCTGCTGGACCTGTGCTAGCAGAGCCCAGAGCTTGGGCACCAGCGTAGGGATGCTGGAACAACCCTCCATGGGCCAAGACTGACATCTGTGCTGGCAAAAGGTGGTCTGTCTCCCTTTGAAGGTGTGCTACACCCAACTCATTGCTCACAGTGACGTCCTCCAGGAGGACCAGCCAGGTCAGGTAGACTTTGGGGTGAACTTGAAGACCCTGTAGAAGGCCAAGCTGAACTAGGAGAAGACCTTCCTGGGGAGGCAGGAGCAGGAGGAAGCGTGACTGAGAAAATTCCTCAGTGTCTTGAGCTGTACAGTCAACAGAGAGTGGAGAACTTCCAAAAAGTTGAACATGTTAGATGCACCAGATTTTAAGAGATTCGGTTTTTCCTTTCCTAAGGAGACACTGTGTTGACAAACTTGTACCTGCAGGCTGTGGAGTGGATTAATTCCCCCATTCAGAACTTGAGAAGGAACTTCATTTTTAGCATGTTTTGTTAAGTAAAAATAAGAACAATAAGCCAAAAAAGTGGTTTGGAAACCTCTGCTTTGATTTGTTATTCTCTGCACTTGGCACTGAAACTCATACAGATGATGTTTTCAAGAACTCCCTAAATGTTTTTCGGATAGGTCAGGGATTTGAAAACTAATCAGTAAAGCTCATGAGAAAAAGGAGGTTAAATCCTAGGCTGAGGGAGCACAAAGGGAGAAGGAATTTATTTTGTTTTATAGTCTCAGGTAGAGGCCTGAAAAACAGATAATAAAAAACCATAAATAACTTTCACAAACTCTGAGGAGGCCTGGTACCAAGTACAGCATGTGTCTCCTGCGTTCCTGGAGAACCATGTAGTGCTTCTCGCCCTAAATAAGGGTAGTGATACTGGCAGCCTCGTTTATCTCGGATACAAGCTGGCAACTTCAGACAATACTTAGAGAAGACAGCATCTTCCCCGGCTGCTTCTGAATGAAGGATTCCGTGTATCCAAATGTTTGGATATTGGATATTTTAGAGCTTGAGGTGATTAATTCCTACCGTCATTTATGCGAATTTTACCTTAGTTAAGAATTAGGTTTTGACACAACAGTGTAGGTCATATGTACAACAAGATGAAAAAGTTCTTAGCGCCTTTCCCATTTAAGCCATTTAACCCTCTCTTTTGGGGTCTTCTTCCATTCAGTCTGGGGGTCCCTTTGGATATTGTTGTAAGAAAGGGCAGAAGGGGCAGGTCCTCAGCTAGAAGTTCCATTTTAACACCATTTGTAAGCAACATAAAAATGTGGGGAGTACAACATAATTTAAGTTTTCTTATGTATCTTCAAGTTTATATATGCAAGTTAGTATTCTTGTCCTTCTTCACCATGCAAGTTATCCTAGTTATCCAGGAATCAACAAAGAAAAAAAAAAAAAAAAAAAAAAAAAAAAAAAAAAAAAAAAAAAGAAAAAGCAATATTGCTATCTATAGCTTTCTTTTCATTTTTAGCATATCACATTATTTTGATTTCTCTGGAGTAGTTCTTCAGTCTACATACCAAGCACTCTGCTTTTCTTGTATCTCATCTCTCAAAGAAAATACAGTTAGGTTTTCTTTCTGCATTTTCTTGCTAGTTTTCCTGTCTTAAAGGGGAAAGAAAGTAGGCAGTTCTCTTAGCCTCCATTTTGACTTACTTTGCTTATAAAAAGTTTGGTAGGATTTGCTTTATGTAACAAAAAAACCTCAGGGTGAGTAACTGGCGTGCATATTTTCCTAAGGCCACTGTAGAACATGCCTGCATTAAAATATTTCATTATACACTCACCTGAGGCAATAATGCCAATGATTTTCAGTATTCCTTACTTGAAACCCAGAGCTTTGCCTGCCTTGTAATTTAGGTTTGTACTTTGTTTCTCAGAATATTATCAAAGTCGGTAGTGCTCTACTGGACCCCAGCAACAAGGAGCACTGGGAGCAAATTCAGCGAACGGAGGGTGGTACTGCTCACCTGCTCAGGCACTATGAGGAATATTTCAACAACGTGGCCCAGAACATGAAGAAAACCTACATGAGACCTTTTGTCATTGTTGCCACTAACATCAGTGAGTATTTGTGTTGAAAACTGCCATTTTGTATTAGAGCTTTAAAAATGTGCTAGATAGAGGTGCTAGCTATTTGTTTTAATGGTACCCACTGAGAAACAACGTAACTTGGATTTTCTAATCTAATTGGTGTATTCATTTCAAGTCAATTGAGCCTTGATCCATATCTCTCAGTTACCATGCGGGTCTCCTGGGAGATGACCGATCTGTTTTCCCTCTGGGCCGTGCCACTGTTCCGTGTGGCATTTTGTTGCAGCCACAGGAGTACACACAGGTGGGAGGGGCAAAGTTTGTAAATAAATGCAATGCCTTTTGAGACCAGCTAGTATGGTTGAACATAAGTAGATCATGGTTTTGAAAAAATCACCACCACCTGAAGAATTACTGCAGTACAAGAAAAAAAACCCTACTATTGGTCATATACCTCTGATTTTCACATGCTTTCCTCCCTGGAACCTATCCAGAAAATCATCTTCTTTAGAAACTCCTATGCTGAAAGGTATTTTCTCAGAATCACCCATCCAAGCCCTCAAGCACCCTCCCAGCCTTGCAAAACCTGTAATCAGAGCAAAATCCTTGGGGTCCAAAATACCCATAATGGGTCTAAACTGAGCAGAAAACATCAGATGTACCTAGGTATTTTTCACTCCTCTAACAAGCAAATAGCAGTTCCTGCACTTGCAGAGCTGTGATGTACTTCATAGGTGTCCCCGCGGTACACATGCCAGTGAAGAGCAGCAACCACAGCCTGGCTGGCGTCTTTACCCATTTTCTCCCCTGCCCTCTCCCATTTCTTTTTCTCCCCAGGTAGCAACAGTCTGAGCTGATCAGGTGTTGGTGATAGTTCTGCTCTGAGCGGGAGGTGAGACTGGGTTGGGTGACCTTCAGAGGTCCCTTCCAAGCAGCATTGCTATCTGATTTTTATTTCAGACCTGAAGAAGGGCTTATGTGCCCAAAATCTTGTCTGATTTTCCCAACTATACCCATTGGTATAAGAAGTGAATTTACCTTTGCCTACAAACCTTGTCCTGGGAGTGCTTCAAGTTTACTGTCGCGGGGGCATAAAAAGCAAAGGCATGAGACAGTGAAGCTACAAAGTTATGAAGTCCTGCATCAACTCCAGGGGAGAAGGATTATTGTTGAACTAAGCCAAACCGAAATATTTTGATTTCTGTTTAATAAACCAAATCTAAAACATTTCCTTTTGATTCAGAACTATCACAATCAAAATATTTTTATCTTCGCATGCAGAAAAAAGTATGCTCAGCATTTTAACTGAACTGAACCGAGATGAAAACAAACCCCAGAATTTCTTGCAGGTTGTAAATCGTTATTTTTTTCAATCAGCTCTTCCTGAGTAAAAAGGTGTGAGCTTGGGAGAGATGCGGCAACTCTGGCCTGAAAGGGGTCTGGTTTTTTTTGAATGGCTTTTGCAGGTGAACATGGTGTTAATGGAGTTTCCTAATGGCTCATCTGGGAGTTATTTAGAGACTAGGAAAGGAACGGGAATTTGCAGATCTTAACTTCTTGTAGAAACTTGGAGTGGATCACAGCTTTCGGTGTAGGGTTACCCCCAGGACTTCTAGCTTCTCATTTTTACTAGAACATCTAAATTGGCACTCAATGGCTTCTCTTAAATGGGTAGGTTTAAACCAACTCAGCTGCTTTTAGATATTTGGCAGTTAGACAACAGGCAGAGCTGATGAGGTGAGCCAGAGAGAAACTGCTAGTGTAGAGGAAGGAGAACTGGACTACTAAGGGGTAGTCCAAGGTAAAATCTAGTTTATTTTCTTTGCTTAGCTGACTTCGCAGTTTAACAGATGTAGAAGTGTGTCTCTGAAGCAGCAGATTTAGCCTTCCCTACAAGAAGCAAGTCTGAAAATGGTACATGCCACTTCTATATTCCCAGTGTTTGCAGTAGTGTTTTCCTAGTATGATACTGTCTTGTGATTTCCTTTCCACTACAAAATAAATGTATAATTTGATAAATGTCACATAATGCTCACACATAAGCTTTTAGTTGTCGTTTAGGGTATTAATTGAGAGAAATTAAATTTGACTATGTATTTTAGGGTTTAAATTTCTTCTCTGCGTTGTGCAGACTTTTTAACCTTTCAATCATGTTTTATTTTGTCACGATATTATATGTGAAAGCATTGAAGTTAATTTTATGGGAAACTTTTTCCCCCCCAGTTATTGCTGTTGACATCTTTGACAAGTCTAACTTCACGGGAGCTAGAATACCACGATTTCATGAGATTAAAGAAGATTATCCAAAAGATCTGGAGTCATCTGTTGTCTTCCCTGATACTTTGTTCAGACCTTCAGAAAGGAGAGGTAAAACCCTTCTGCTGCTGTTCAGAGGGTAATTTTGACTAGCTCCCAGGGAGCATGATTGATCCTTGCAAAGCAGAGTGGTACTGGGGTGAGAGCAGGGCGACCATCTACACAAGCAAACATTATTTAGGGATGGAGCAGCTGTGCATACTTCTGAGGCATTTTGCCTGCCGGCAGCAGTGGAAGCATGGGGGGCTGCGTAACTGGCTGTACCTGTCTGTCAGGTCTCATTCACAGCCCCTTGGACAGCCCTGTCAAAGCACGAGAAATGCTCTGCCTCCGTTCCCACCAGGATGGGGTGGGATGGGACAGCCACCTGGAGCCTGCAGCCCCAAAGCCACCTTCCCCGAGTCCCTTGCAGAGATGGAGGGAGGTGGTGCGAGAGATGGAGAATCCAAATCTGGGAGCAGAGATGTGTTATCAGAACTACACAAAAAAGAAAAAGTCTTGAGCTGCGCAGGGAGGTGGGTGATGAGGGGACAATACATGGGCAAGTACCTGTTTCCCGGTGTCTCTGGGGTACCTGGAGGTTGCTGAGAGGAACCACAAATTACCTTGAGCGAGGGAAGAGAGAGAGAGAGTAACTCAAAGTGCAACAATTATACATGTACCTTGGCTGAATATCCTCTGAATGTGGAAATAGTAACACTTGTGAAAATAACGCATAATAATTAATAAGCTAATACAACTGTATGACTTCTTCCTCAGAAACAGGGCATCTGCTTGTATAACTCATATCTTTTCTGTAAGAAAAAGGAGAATGTGAATGTTAAGAAATCTTGCCAAAACTGAAAGCTCATTGTATGACAGAATTAGCAGGGAGAAATTCCATGTGACCAATTGGTGTATTCATAACACTAGTTATGCCATATATAAAGGTACATGCTATTTGATAGCATGCATATTGTTATATACTTAGGATCTTCTAGCTTAGAAATGTCTTGTTTTCTGGGTAGACTAAATGGTTGTTTGTGGTTCAATGGTTATTTGATTATCAGCTATATAACTATGAGATGTGCTAAAATTTTATTAAAAATATCAAATATAGCATTAGGAGCATGCTCAGTGCTGTAAGCCTAGAGTTATAACAGCAGTAGCATCTCTGTATCTTTGCAGAGCAAAATTACTAGTTTAAATGGTAGCTCCAAAGCTGTGTGGAAAGAATTTAATATTTCTGTTAATTCCATAGCAGTGCCTACAGTGAAGCCTTCAAATCAAAAATTATCCTCTAAGGTGAACAGTGATGCATTAAGCCCTGAGAGTGCTTTTGCAAAGAGAAAGAAGCGACACCCAGATGACTCAACACATCATACGGTTGCTATGGTCATTATATACCGATCCCTGGGACACCTTCTGCCTGAAAACTATGATCCTGACCGAAGAAGCTTGAGGTAAACTTCAGACCTGTTTGTGAATTGTGCAGACCCCTTGTTCCACTTGCTGTGAGTGTACAGGGGAGGCAGAGCTACTTTTATAGTGACCAAATGTCATCTGTGCTGCAGTTGTCACCGCAGTACTGTCTCTGGTCAGTGGAGAATAACCATGTCAGTAGTGCCAGAAGCTTTTGGAGGGATGAAATATTTTTATTTGCAGAGCCTGCCAAATCAGTACATTACATTTTAACATTTAGATGACTGTGCAATTTTTCTCCTTCTGCAGATTGCCAAATCGCCCTATTATTAACACACCTGTAGTGAGCACAGCGATTCACAGTGACGGGGAGCTTCCTCCCAACTTGGTGGAAAAGCCCATCATAGTGGAGTACGCCATGCTGGAAACGGAGGAGAGAACGAAGCCTGTCTGTGTCTTCTGGAATCACTCCATCATGTATGTCTCCTACCTGTTTTAGGGCTGTGCCACTGGCCACTGTCTCAGTAGCAGAGAAGTTCTGCCCAGGAAGATAATTCGGGAGGAAAACCCTTTTTTCCTCAGTTTATTCAACTGGCAACTGATCTGTGCTGGAATAGAGCCACATAGTCATTTTCCACCAACCTGAGATAAATGAAAATAATCATCCTAATTCCTCAAACAAAGGATTGGCCATGTGGTTTCTAACAAACACAGCACCATCCAGTCTTTCTGCAGGGTTCATTTTCACCCAGCAATAATAAATTTCACAATTTCCTTGTAATTGCTCATGCTTTTTGCCCACAGATGTATGTCTGGACAGGCATAGTCCGAATCCAGTGCCTGAATTCATGGTTCATCTGAGGTCCTTAAGTTAGGACTGTCATTGTCCCAAGCCCCCTTTTTAGAAGGGCATCTGCAGGAGATAGTTCAGTTCTTACATGGGCTGAATCGTCTCCTGTTACTCTCCAGTGACTATGGACAGAGTACATGGCAAGCAGTTACCCACCCATGATGCCTCAGCCAGGACCAGTGAAAAAAAATTACAAACCCAGGTCTTCATATTGGTAAAAAGGAGGACTGAGGTTTTGCAGGTAAAATTATGTGAGTAAAGATTAGAAATTTTTGAATCTCAGATTTTTTAATCAAAAGCCAACCTAAAGACAGTTGCACTGGTAAGAAGCAACTTACCTTTCATTCCATCAGCTGTTGTGGATTTGCTTTCATTTGTTTTAGTGAGAAATTGGAAGGAGAGGAAAAACCTTCTTTGGGACTGTAGGCCTTTTGAGTTGTTAGGAAGCAATCATAGTACATAAGCAGAACATAAGGAGAGAGTATTTGACTCTCTAGGAGGGAAGTGTGAGGGAAAAGATTAAATATTCTGAAGATGCCTCATTTATGTCTTTTGTATTTAGTAAAGTTGAAGATACAGACATTTATCTTGAAAACGTGAAAAATGTTAAGAACTGTATATGCTCATAAGTGTTTTGTTGGGTTTATGGCATTGTGGAAGCAGCACAGTCCTATTGGAGATATTTCAAGAGGGTGGTTAAAACAAAAGAAAATGTGTTGAGAGAGAACTACACACTGTGCAAGTTATGATTTCACAATATTGTAACTATTACATATATAATGCAATTTTTCAAACATGAGGTATATAGTGAGAAGATGCCCAGGGTAAGAGGAATAGCTGTTACTTGTTTTCTAATAACCCAAAAACTCTAGTAAACCTATGGAAAAATCCATTAAAAGGCAACATCCTGTGCTGGAAATAAAAGGGCAAACTAACCTAGGAATTGTTTGCCTCCTAGTCAAAATCTTCAGGAGATTATGTTGTTGAAAGGATTGAAGAGGCAACAGAAATCTGTTATGTTGGCGATAATAAACTACTCCATTTGCCTGCATGTAAAGTAGTGTATTTGCTTGAATGTACAGACGATTCTGCCAATTATGGGGGAATGGCAAGTCCTTTTTCATAAATTTTTAAACATTGTATGGGCTTGAATAACTCATTAGCTCTAAAATGATTCATCTGCTAACTATTTGCTGGCAACTTCAACAGCATTGTTGTCTGTGTTACATTTTCCTACAGCCACAGTTGAAAAGCAGCTCTTAAACTGCATGTAATGAAAGAGTTTTTTAAAAGTGAGTACTTTTCAATAGAAAGTGATTATTAGAACTGTTTAACAAATATTTTATTGCTGAATGAAAAAGATGTCCTGATATGATGTCGTATCTAATTAGAAACTCTTTCAGTAACTACAAGACTATTTTTATTACTCATTAACTTCAGAATAGAATAATAAATATTGATACAAAATAATTTCTGAAGTCACTGGAGTTAACCAAGGCTGCACAGGGAAGAATTTTTAAGGGAGCACTTCCTTCCCAATGTTAATACAAGAGATGTCCTGATATAAAATACTATTTACTGCTTTTAACCTTTTCTTGTGTACCTTCCAGAGGAGTGCTATAACAAGACATGTTACTGCTGAAACATATTTCACATAAGAGCTCTACAAGCAGTGTCTAGATCTAGGGAATTAGACATGACTCAGAAACGTGTATCTCTCCGTATTTTTTACCTTTGTTATGGACAGTTTGCTCTGTGCAATTGCTTCCCCATATTGCTTGTGTGGTCACTGACTCAAAATAAATTTTTTTTAAACTTTTTTTTAACTCAAAACAGATTGTTATAAAAACACAAAATTTGGCTGGCAAAGCCAGATGTCATATCAGAAACTACTTCAACTGAAGGCTTTTAAAGTTTATTATATTCTTTCAGGCAGGTGACAACTATAAATATTTCTGTCTTGCTACTTACGGTCCTCTCTGGTTGCAGAGCAAGAGCTACAATAGCAGCGGGAGGCAAGGGGAGATCAGAGGGCTGCTCTCAGAAATGCCTTTTTTCCCCACAGGGTTGGCGGGACAGGTGCCTGGTCCTCCAGAGGATGTGAGTTGTTTTCCAGAAACCAGAGCCATATCGCTTGCCAGTGCAACCATATAACCAGCTTTGCTGTCCTGATGGACATTTCGAAACGAGAGGTGAGTGATATCAGGCTCATGATTTTTGAGGGCTTTGGTTTTCCAGGCCTTTGACTCAGAGCTTGAGCTTGAGCTTTGAACATGATTCAGAGCATTGTCAGGAGATTGATCCCATGTTGCAGTGTGTTAGGGGAACGTCACCCTGTGCCTCACAGCACCCGGCGTTGGGTCTGCTGAAAGGAGCTTCTTACCCGGTCAGTGTATAGCATAGCCAGCAACGCAGAACTGCACCAGGCTGCAGAAAGCCATGCAGAGAAGGGAGTGAGGCAAGATTACAGACACATGATAGTTGTGGCATCACTTGCTATTAGGTCCATCTAGAATTACAATAGCAGGGACAAAGACAAAAACACCATAGGTTTTTCACCATCTTGGGATAGCCTCGACAGGGACAGTCCAGCATCAAAGTCACAGGGGATTCTCGTTTAACTGTCCCCTCCCTCTGGGTGTTGCCTGTGTGCACTGAACCTGTTAAGTGATTTAAGAGGTGGCACTGTCCACTTCTGTTGGTCCTAAAGCAAATGTGTACGTTGGCTCAGTGGTAATTAAAACACTGACATTCTGAGTAGTAGATTTGACTGCAGGAAATGGAAGGAAAAACTCATGGAGGTCCTGTCAACCTGTCTTTCTGCAGAATGGGGAGGTGCTTCCTCTGAAGATTGTCACTTACACAACCGTATCCATCTCGCTGGTGGCTTTGCTGATCACCTTCATACTGCTCGTGCTGATCCGCACACTACGTTCAAACTTGCACAGTATCCACAAAAACCTGGTGGCTGCCCTTTTCTTCTCTGAGCTTGTCTTTCTTATTGGAATCAACCAGACTGAAAACCCGGTAAGAGTTACTCTTTTCTTATTGCTAGAGTTGTTGTTGAGCTTTAAATCAGGGGGTTCATGTTGCAACTTTTACCTGTTCCCATCTGTTTCACTTTCTCTTCTTTTTTACTTCTGCTTGGAATCAACAGTCATTTGAGAAACATCAGACTTTTTTATTTTTGCGTGTTTTATGTGATTAATAGCAATGCCAGGAGATAGGACTATATCTTATTTTCAGAGAATATGTGACTGCAGCCCTGTTGAAGGCTTATCCCAAAAGCTGAACTCTGAATACTGATTTCTTTCTTCCTTTCCATCAGTATGTTTTGTCTTGCTTTGTCTGTTCAGTAGGAGGCTCTCCAGTTTCTCCTGCAGCAGGTACCTCACAAGCCCAAATGGCTCCTGATGTTGACTGGTAGGTTATCAACTACATGTTGCTGTGCAGGTGCTAATATGCGTGTTGCACACCCACCATGGCCTTTCTGGAGAAGCCACTTGCCAGGCATGGGACAGCTTGCTACATCCAAGAATCAGGAGGAAACCTGTCGCTTTGCTTTGTGCCTTCCAGGCACAGGGAATGTTGGCTTCAGCCCATCATATCTGTTGCCAAAGCTTAGTGCAGGCACCTCCAGTGTTGTGCATGTCAAGAAATGCAAGCTGTGAATGGACTGAATATGAGATATATGCCACACATGAAGTGTGTATGTTCTGTCCCTAGGACCTCATTGCTATCTTAACTGTGTAGTATTATAGGTAGTATTGCTGCTAATTCTTAGTAGGACCTGTCTCAAAAGTCATGTACCATGCAGTCAGGTAGAGGACAAGCAGACAAGGGTTCCAGCACTGCCAAGCTTCACAGTCGACTTTACCAGTCAGTAAACAGATTGGGGGTGTGACATGCAATAAAAATTATGTCCTTAACAGATATGAAGAATATTCAAAATATTGCTGTAGGGATCATGTGAGCACACTGAAGAAAATTTATATTCTAGAAATCCTTTACATGTTGCAGTCTAAATTTTGAGAGGGAAGTACAATCTTGAGATGAAAACACACACACACACGCACACACACAAAAAATTAACCGTGATGATTCCACATTGTCCAAGCAGCAGAAATGGGAGAAAATGCCTACGTTAAATGGGTATCATCACTGTTGTGGTAACAACACCATTGTGCCTGATGTGTAGCCTCACTTACTATATAACTTAAGCCTAAAGTGTCACCCTGGGTTATGATATCCATTTGAGCTATAACATGCATTTTAGAAAGTATCTGACCTTGACTTAGAGATTTGGTGTGATGGCAGAGTCCCTTACCTCTGTTCGTGTAAAGTGCCATAGTATCTCATCCCAGTTAAACATGCTGTCAGATTTTGTCTAATTTCAACTTCCAGTAACTGGGTGCTGTCAAGACTTTTTCCTAGTAAATTGAGAGACCTCTCTTATAAAAAGTGTCTTCTCAGGAAGCCTCCATTCGGTAGTATTTCTTTTGGAAAACTAAATAAAATTAAGCTGCTTAAATTCTTCCAATTTCTAAGATTCAGGTTAGTCTGTTGCCTTTTTTCTGGGCTTTCTTCCCTCGCTTTACCTTCTAGAAAATTGTGAATGATAAACTGGACAAAGCTTTCCAGCTGGTAGTGTTGCTTCCAGTCCCATATTCCGATATTCCCCTGCACCAGGAACTCCATTGACCTGCCCTCTGGGCTATGGTCTCACATCATGTGTGACCCATGTTGTCTTTGTTTCATAATATATGAGTTTCCGTATTAAACTAACTTTGCCCAGATGAACTCACCTTGCCAATTGATCCACAGCACTCCGTGTAACTTGACCTTTCCCATACCTTCTTGAGCACACCACTCGTATTTCACTGAATTTCACCAGCAGGGAGTTTGTACTCTTTCAGTTCTCCAACATGAACACTGAGGAGCAGGGGGCCAAGCCCACATCCCTGCAGGGTCTTACCAAAACTTATGCAGTAAATGATGGCTCCTCATTTCTAGATTCCTTTCATAATATCATGAAGCACCAAGCAAAGGTTTATAAGAGTAGTAAAACAGTTCGTTATAGCAGTACCACAAATACTAATGGTCAGACTTGGTGAGACTGGTCTCTTTTGCTCCTTCCCATTTTCATGCTTTTGGGCTCATGTCATGTACTGTTACCAGGACTCAGTGAAACACCCCAAACCTTTAACCCACTTACAAAGATCTTTAAGTTACAGAATGTATTTCATACAGCAGAAAGCCACTCCTTACAGCCTACCCAGTCAATTTGAGAAGTTAGGAGGGCTGTAAGCCATGTCTGCTTGGGACAATTATTCATCTGTCTGTATGGAATGAGAGTTGTCTAACGAGTCATGCACTGATGAACATAAAGAGGGAAAGAATGCTGGAGCACAAATAATGCTGTGCTGCTTGGCACCCAGCCTGGCTTTTATGGGTTTCTGTAAATTAACAGTCACATTTCTGGGCGAGGTTTTAATCTTTCCTTGGACTATTGATAGGAAGTGATTTATTTTCTTTCTTTCTTTTTTTCTTACCTGAAAAAGGTAATGTTCAGGGCAGCAGTCTACTCACAAGCATTTAGCAGTAGGAGTGAAAAAAAAACCCTGCTTACACAGAGGGAAGAAAGATCTTTTATTTGGTGAGCTACGTTTTCAGTAACACTTGGTGTTATAATAAAGCTGATGCAGTAAGTGAATCCAGAAAGTTGGCCGTGTTTGTATGATTCCTTTGCTCAGCAGAGTTAAATAGGGAAACTTACATTTCTGAGCATTATACCGTGAAAAAACACTAAAAGTCATGCCAAAATCTGAAAGCAGGATCAGTGCTGCACAGGAACAAAAGGATCCAAAACACAATGTAAAACATTTTGAAACAAAAATTGAATGGTTGCACAAAGTGCTCTTAATTCAAGCTTATCAACAGATCCTTGGCAAAATACTTTACTTGGCTTCTGAAAGGAGAAGGTTAATTTAGAGATTTCAATTCAGGTGTCGGAAGCTTGTGGTCATTCCTGTTTTGACCGATCAAACCGTTGAGAAGGAAGGCTGGTTAGCAGATACTAAAGAAACGCAAGTCTGTAAAGGTTAGTGGTTTCAAGATGGCTGTTTGGTCACAAAGATAACTTCAGCTACCAGTTTGCCCACTGTAGCTGTTACTCCTACACTAGGTCCCACTAAGGACCTTGTCTCTTTGGTTTGAGCAGGTCCTTCATTTTTGCTGCTCTCAGCCTGGCAGACCTGAGTGGTCCACTTTATGCTGCTGACATAGGATAAAAAACAAATCCAAACCTGGGACTGGAAGCTCCAAATCCTCTTGTACCTAGCTGAAGATGTGAACGAGCAGGCCAGCACTAACCTACTTTCTGTTTGTCTTCATGACTTCTGTGCCTGACTGCAAGTAGCACAGCCTCAAGAGGAGGGTAGAGCCGAGCATTTCTGGACCCATAATATCCTAAAGCCTGGCAGTTAGGGCGGTTTTCTGCAGTGGATGAGAAGGTGGTTAACCCCCCCACTCAAGCCAGGTAGAGCTTAGAAGCCACTTTGTAGTCAAATACTCTGGTTTTGACATTAGGTAAAAGGTTGATCTGCGGAGTAGGTGGTGATCTACTTCTGGCTGCATCATTTTAGTCCAGTGATAACGGCCAGGCATCTTCCATGACTTATTGAAGTATAGATATGCAAGGTCTGCAGGGTTCATCAGGGAGGGGCAGAGCTGCAAGGACAAAAGAGTCTGCCACTGCCTTACCCCATGGATGCATCCATGCTTTTGCTTCTTAGTTCTTTTTTAAAGAGTCCCAGAAAAGGAGCTGTAGATGGAACAGGTGTCTATGACACAGTCACATAGGGACAAAATGGTTTGCTGGTCTTACACTAGATCATAGGATCACATCAAATTTTGCCTGTTTGTGAGACAGACGTTTCATTTAACTGGTAAGAAAATTCCTCAAAGAACTGCTGGAAAATTTTTGGTTAAGGTCTATAGATCATCTGTTGCTCATGTTCAGCATGTTCACTTTTCCTGGGCTGAAGCTTTATGGATTTTCCCCCAGAAGTGAAGTTTTTCAGAGCGAGAAGGACTTTCTCAGGGACTGGTCCTAAAGTGAAGACCCAAGATCTGTCTCATACCTCTCCTCCACCTCTGTCAAACACAAGGAAAGTTTCTTTGTACTTCTTTATCTACTAGTACCAGGCACAAAACAGTGTCTGCTTTAAGAAAAAACAAAACTGTACCAAAATAACACACTTTCTTTGAGAGAGAGATCTCCCTCCACAGGAAGAAGTGAAATAGCAGAAAAACCCCATAGGATGGCCCTTGATGTGGAAATGGGAGACACCAAGTCAGTGCAAGGATGAGGGTGGCCCTTCTGAAGAGCAGTTTGTTGGCTTTGCAGTGAGACCAGTTTAGCTGATGCCGTTAAACACACTGTGGCTAAATTCACGGGAGTGTTATCGTGCAGGCAAGACCCATACACGAGACAGGGCAGAGGGTCTGCAGGCTCCCTAGGGGCATCCCCACCTCCTGCTCTGCATGAGGAGAAAGAGCCAGGAGCTCTGCCAGACCTGCCCCTCCTGCGAGCAGAAGGAATTTGGTCAGAAGAGCCAGAAGTCTCACCTGTACAGCAAATATGCACAGAGAAATTAGCCACAGAATGTGAAGAGAAAGGGTAGTGACCAAAAGCATGTTGGGTTGATAGGGTAAAGCTGAACCCGACTTAGAACAGGTCACATAATTTACAAGAAAAAAAAAGCTTTCACAATATGAACAGCTTTTCTGAAACTCTGAAAAACTTAATTAAAGGCAGTATATTTGTTCTGACAAAAGCTTTTCATTACACTTGCCTTTAGCTGCATGGGGGAGTCGGTGACTCACCAGGTTGTGATTCAGAAGAGGAACTCTAATTTCCCTGCCCTTTCCTTTCTGCAGTTTGTGTGTACTGTGATTGCCATCCTCTTACATTATTTCTACATGAGCACCTTTGCATGGATGTTTGTGGAGCAGCTCCACATCTACCGGATGCTGACTGAAGTGAGGAACATCAACTTCGGGCACATGAGGTTCTACTACGTTGTTGGCTGGGGCATTCGCTGGGGCTTCCCTGCCATTATAACAGGTACACTCAACCACCCCAAAACAGCTTCATTTCCCTTCCCTCCCATCTTACTGGCCAGGTTCAGGAAAGTTACCTATCCAAGACAGCTCTGGGTACACTCAACTACTGCTGTCACTTCAGTGTTTTTTTGAATAAGGGCAACAAACACCAAATCAAAGTCTAGCAGAAGTCAGCCTGAATTCGGCAGATCTGTGCACCAAACCTCTATTGCCCCAGTTGAAGTGGTACTGAGGATTTTACAATAACATAGACATAATTGCTCCCAGATTAAAGCAGGACTTGATAACATTGCTTGAGAAGAGCAATATTTTTATTTTAACAACAACACTAGTAGCCTTCAGAAATTTTCCGTCCTTGTGCTGGCACCTTGGGATATGGACACACGGTCTCTTGGGGAGGTAGCTGCAGTGGCTTCAGAAGCAATGCTGCCCACAGGATATTGCTGCCCTTCACTGGACATTCCCGTTGCCTAGCCTCAACCAGCATTAAAAGCTCCCTGAAGGGGATTTCAGCAGTTCTGTTTTACTTGGCATAAAAATGAGCTGGGAATACTCAAGCAGCCTTTTACTTCATTTCAGCTACAAAGGCAGTAACTTCCAGTTGAGGAAAAGTAATGAAAAGCTGGAGGCAGTGATCATGTAAACTGTTCCAGGGTGATCCACAGGAGCACATCCATCTCCGCCCTCACCATGCCTATTTTTGCAATCAGACATTTCCAGTGCTACCCTAAGCACATGGTGCTGCGTTAAATCAGGCAGACAGCTCCTCAGGAAGTGCGCTTCGCAGAACAGTTGGAGTGGGGTTTTTTGGTTCAGCTATTTCAGCATGTATCTGTTGCCATGTGGGAAATCAGCTCATAGGCAGATAGTTAACTTATATCCAATTACTTTTATTTTTACAGATAGCAACATACTGTCAACAACGGCAGAGGTTTAGATGTCTCTCAGATCAAACAAATAGCTGTCACTCGTATATACTTGGAAAAATATGGAACAAGTTAGAATTTTCAAAATATATGGTTTTTTTTCCGATGTGACTTAAGAAAGTGTAATACAGGAATATAACATAGGTTAGTATAAGTTAGCTTTCATTTTGGAGAGCTGGTAAGTTTTTTGTTTTTTCCATATCACCCTGTGCATAAATAATTTAGTCTTATATCAATTTATCCAGAACACAGTGGAAGGTAGATCTCAGAAGGCACTGCCACTCTAGACGTATCTCTGACATTTCAAATAGAAATTGTCCTTGAACTTCTAGAACATTTCAGACCTGTGTAACTTTTATCACTACATACAGGACTACTGCAATATATGTAGGAACGTTTAAGTGCCATCAGATAGTTGGCAGTATCATTTCTGGTAGAAAAGGAATATTATCATTAAATAGCAGTAAACAATTTGCATTTCAGAAGCATAACTCTTCAGAAGAATTTTCTCAGAAGGATTTGCTGTTTCATGTTTAGTTTCTCTCCTGAATTTTAAAATAATTCAGACCTTCTCAACAGCAGCATTATGCAATCTAAATATTACAAGTACACCATTTTTACATTTTTCTACTTAGATATTGTTCTCTGTGATATGGAACTATTCTGCACTTTTAAAACTATGCGTTAGGGTTCCAGGTTGTCTCCTGTAATTTAAATTCTGAATCTACTCAATTTGCACTTCATTTAAATGAAAAGTCAGACCCCTATTACTGAGCAAGTCAGAGGATTTTGTGAAACAGGACAAAGAAAACTAAGCCTTTAGTTTGCCCTTCCAGGTTTAGAAATAATCTGAAGAGAAAATTATTTCACTATAAATAGCACAGTGTGGGATTTCTTGCTCCTGGAAGACTTTGTTACTGTACATATTTTAAATAATCTTCTTTTATAAGCTTTAAATTTTAGTATACCAACAGTAAAAAGGTTCCAACTTCATAACGTGCATCTTAAATGCAATTTCTTTTAAATTGCTTTGTGAGAGGATTGTGTATGTTTCTTAATAGTGGAAAAGTCTAGATGTGGGAAGGGATTTTAGTCTCAGACATCCAAAGGACTTTTTTGTTTTATTTGAAAGATAAGTAGTCCATTTTATCTTTTTCGTAGCTACGCTGAAAAAAAAAAGAAAAGAACCTCCAGTAGCAGTGGCTTTATTCTGTTTTGTTTATTTATTTTTTCTATTTTCTGTGCTCAAACTGACATTCATTTCAAGCTGGGACATAGTGGTCCTAAGGCATCTGTGATGGGACCAGGCTATGGGCAGAAAGGGACCTTGTCCTTTGGGTGGGGGAAACTTAGCAAAATGTTTACATAGGGAGCACTCCAGCAGAGAAGAACCACATTTAATCGCAGCATAGAAGAGCAAATTGCCTGAACAAAAGTAGGATGGAAGCTAGGAGAAGGCTTACAGCCATCAAAAGAGTGCAGATCTGGAATATTCCTTCATGGGCAACGACAGTGGAACATTTTTAATTTGCTTGAAGCTTGCTTATTTTAAAATGTAGTTTGATCCATCTAGGAGAGGGATTTCATTACTTTTTTGCCTCAGGAACAAAGGGCTGAATTTGGCACCCAGCAAGACCCCTCCAGTTCTGCGTGTCTTCATGGCAACATGCTAGCCAGTTGGCATATGTGTGTTGTAACTGCTTTGCCACAAAGACTGCAGTGGTCATGTTAAAACAGGTTCTGATACAGCCCTAAAACCAGTATCCCCCAGAAAACAGCACTTTCCAAATCTGCAATTTGCTGTGAATACTGAGGTGATGAGTCAGGAGAGAAGTGAGGCTGACCTGCAGTTGCCTAAGTCACATATGGCTGCTGAGCCTACAGAGCTCAGAAGGTTCAAAACATGCCCTTCCAGCAGCACCTCCCCATGGCGTGCCCTTGACATGCTCCCAGGATGGGTGCTGGTCCCCACAAGATGCTCAGCTCAGCCACAGGACCAGCAACAGTTTCTGCCAACATCAATGAGCTATCACGCAGCCCACACGCTTAGTCTGCACAGGACAACCAGGCTGCAGCATTTAATTGATGTGCCAAAATTATTTGCTATATTACATTGCATTAGCTTAATTCTGCCTTTGAGTGAAGTGTTAATTTACATATTGTTGACTCCAGTAGAATTTGAACCACATACCTGAAGACTGCAATTCACCCCATTTGTTTAATGGAGAACTTCGGGATTTTGAGAGTGAAAAAATGCTGCTGTCTGCCAGTTACTCTTAGAGCCAGATGTTTGGTCAAAACCTAGTTTAAGTCCCACTAATGGGGAAATCGTGTCCTGGGAAACAGGCTGTGTCTACAGAATTACATCTGTATAAAATACTTTATGGTCCCTTAATCATTTATGGCTAATTCTTTCTGGATGGCAACTGCTGAAGGGGGTGGTGGAAGAGCCAATGGGAGCAGGGAGGGAGACCAGTCCTATCTCATTCCACACTTCAGAGAAAACAGATCCAATATCCACGCCTTTGCCAAATAGCCAGTTTAATTTTCGTAGACTGTAGGCTTGTACCAGATGTGAATATTGGCCATGGGCCAGCTTTAAGCAGTGAGAGTGAAATGCAGCTACCTCTCCCTTTTTCAGTGTCTTTTAATCAAAGCACATGGTCTTCAATTAAAAAAAAAAAAAAGCCATTTATTAATGCACATAAACTGTCTTTCCGGAGAATGGCACTGCCATCAACCTTGGCTGCCTGCTTGAGTCAGGGCATACGCTCAACACAATAGGTGCCTCCAACGCCTAGACAACACGCTGCAGCCGTTTACCATATGTCATTCACCATAGGCATCACAGGGATCAGTTTCTGTATGATGGTATCTGTGTCTTGAAGAAGGAAGACCTCTGCAGTATTTTGTAGGTCAAAGGCAGCAATCCCAGTCCATCGCTGTACAGGTGAGGTGTACGTCACCAAATCAGATGGCACTGTAAATCAGCAGGTGGAGGTTGGACTCCCTTGGAATTGTCCAGGCTTTGAAAAATAAAACAATAAAAGGTGTGTTCTTACCTTGATTGCCTTGGGGGCATGAGCAAACTCCATTTCCAACAGCACTGAAAGCAAGATGAGGTGCCTGGGATGGCCTGAGCTAAGCGCTTAACTCCCGTGAGTTCCCAGCTTCCTTCGTCTATGGTGTTATTTTAGTGACAGCAAGCTCACAGCAGTTAAGAATGCACTTGTTTTGTAATACAGACATCTCCTCAGTTATGATTCATGTCATTCTGCTGCAAAGGCTTATTGAAATTCCTCAATGTGTCACTCACCCTCAAGGCTTCATCACACTGTGTGAGTATGACTGTAAAACTGCGCTGAAACAGAATTAATTTGGGACTTGCATTTATTGTCACTTTTATGCAGGTGAACTTTGTTCTGGTAGACAAAACTCATAGTATCATTTGATGTGGAGTGACCAGCATAAAGGTTTTGATTTACAGAAGTTTTATTTCAGTAGTTGCATTGATTTTGATTTCCCAGACTCTCCTATTGAACACATTTTGCCATTATCATTTTGTGTGTCAGATAGTGATTTGAAAATGTTCCTAGTTATACAGAAGGTCTCAGCAGCACCTTTCTGATGTACTTTCTCTCCGTTTTATGACCCAGGGCTTGCTGTTGGTCTGGATCCACAAGGCTATGGGAACCCTGATTTCTGTTGGTTGTCTGTTCATGACACCCTTATCTGGAGTTTCGCCGGACCCATTGTAATTGTTGTAGTTGTAAGTACGGTGGAGTTGGCAATCTGAGCTGTCTTTTCCTTGCTGCTACCTTTTCTTTTATGTTTTGGCAACCAACAGTCATAATGTGAAGCAACTGTTGATGTATTCGAGCTTGTTTCTTTTGCTTAAACAGAGCAGACATGAGCTAAGCCCCTGGAAGTCAGAGGGCTGCTTGCCAGTGTGAAGATCTCATGTGGAGCAATGTTTGTATCGCCAGAAACCTATTTATTTTTTCCCATTTGCCTTGTTCCATGTTTGAAGGATTGGTCAATTGGCTTATAAAACAAATCAACAAAATGAGCCGTAACAAGTCTCTCCATCCGGAAGTCCTAAAGGCCCTTCATCCAGAAGTTCTAAAGGAATATTAAATAATTCCAATTTCAGGAATTTAAAATAATTGGCTGGTGATTAACTTCTCCCTTAAAACATCCCTCAGTAACAGAGCACCAGAAGGTACATATCCGTGGTGTGACTGTATCTTGAATACCATGTCTGGTCTCCTAATCTCAAAAAGTATGAAGTAGACCTGGAAGCAGTATAGATTGGGGTCACAAGTTGTCAGAGACATGGGACAGCCCCCACTGGAGAAGCAACTAAGTGAAGGGCTAGGAGCCTTCAGCCTAGAGAATAGAAAGCCTCTCTTCTCTAGGGGATAGGGAGGAGCTTGTAATAGCATGGTGGCCTGGAGAATATGACCGTGGAGCCAACTGTTCAGTGTCTTTTACAACACAATTACTAGCAGAAAGTGGCAGATTCAGAATAAACAGGACGAGCTACATCATCGCTCCACAGGGAGTGAGCTTAGAAACTCATAGAAACAAGACAATGGTGGTCATAAAGCTCTGCGTGGTTTCAGGAAGTAACTGAACAAATTCCCCATGAGTGATCAAGTACAAACGCACCACCCCACCTAGTACATCCCAGCTGTGGAAATCAGTGGAGGCTGGAGGAGTATTCAGAGGTATCATTATATGCTTGCTCTGTTACTATATTCTGCTTTGGCCCAGCTGAAACAAGATGCTGGGCTGAGTGGACTCTGGTCTGGACAAGGACAGCCATTCTTGAGTTTTTATGTTTCACCCAAGCCTCTCTTGCATACAGCTGTCGTACTGGGTTTCATCTAGATCAAGTCCCTGGATGTTCTTGATTATGTTAGCTTGAACGAGATGAATCTTGGAACTTCGAGACATGTAAATTGAAGGAATAACATTCTTGGCACCACAAACCATTTTAGGATAAAAATTATGTTGTCATTGAAAACTGAGCCCTAACAACTTTATAGAAGGAATCCATACTGCTGTTTCAATTTCCCTTTCAGATAAACACTGTCATTTTTATACTGGCAATGAAAGCATCGTGCAGACGAAGGCAACGTTCGTTTGAAAAAACTGGAGTCATGTAAGTTTGCGTTTCAAAACCTGTAGAAAAGTTCTGGCCAGGAATGATAAGGGACGGAATTGCCTAAAAGCAAGTGTTGGGGTGGGAAATAAATAAGATATTTGGAGGAGACAGTCAGCATTGGTAGAGGCAATTGGAGCTGCTTCCCCAGCACCTGCACAGGTTCCCTCAGAGCCTCTGTCAAACCTTCACCATGGTGCTCCACTACCAAGTGGTGACAGGAGGGAAATGTCTGGTCTCCAGATGGTATCATTATAGTCCTTCCAGATTTTTTGTCATACTCCCTACTACACTGTCACTTCGCCTCCACCCATGGCATGACCCATGCTCACCCATGGCTCAGAAGGGTCTCCTCTCACAACTGCCTGGGTGACCAGCCATGTTGTGGCAGAAACCCATTGAGGTTCCTGTGCTGAGGACCAGCCTCCCCCCATCCTGCTCCCCATGGGACAGGCAGAAAGCCTCGCAAGCTGCAACCTGCCGCCTTCCTGAGCTGCTGTGGCAGCCTGTTCCCATTAATGTCTGTTTTGCCCAAAGCTCAGAATTTACCTGTGAACTGAAACATGATTAGCTGGTGGCAAGACTTCTTTTTTTTTCAAATAGGTATCTGTATGAGATTTCAAAAGACTTCTTCTAGCTATTTGTTCAGCCCTGGCTGTTAGGTAATTTTTTTTAAAGTTTCTTTTTTAAATCTCCCTAAACAAGTGGAGTCTAATTGCTACTTAACGTCAGCTATTTTACTCATAGTACAAAACTTTTGCCACTAGAATTGTGACCGTCCTTTAAAAGCGTCTATGGAAATAATATTTTTAAGGAAATAAATATTCCCCTGAGTGTCCTAGATCCAAAACCTTGGGCTGTAATGTTGAGAAGGAATGTGAGAGTGAACTCAACAAATAGAAATGCGATGAACGTGGCCATTTACCACCCAGATCTCTTCCTCAGAGTCAACAAGGCTGAACGGTATGGGCTTGGCAAACAGCCTGGTTTGTTTAAAGAAAACGTTGGAAACGAACTTCAAAAGAAAACACCTTTTCTTTACCTGAATATGCTAAGTCACTGAGTAGTGCAATGAGAGAGTCGGGAACTGGGAGCTGGTGCACACTGCCCTAATTTTCCTAAACGTCCTTTTCAGTTGGCGAATCATTGGGCATGTGGCACTGCACATGCAGAGAAGTTGGGGTATTCTCTTGTATCCTGTTACGCTGCAAATGCCTGTCTGTTTGATTTACAGCTCTGGGCTGCGAACAGCATTCCTGACTGCTCATCAGTGCCACGTGGCTGCTGGGGCTGATGGCGGTGAACAGCGACGTCATGACGTTTCACTATCTCTTTGCCATTTTCAGCTGCCTGCAGGTAAGTTGGATGACATCTTGTCCATGGCAGACTTCAGTGAGCATGCAGTTGCACCCAGACCTCCAAAAACCTGCTAAACATTAGCTGACTTAGGAAGAAAAGAGATGTCAAGTACATTTTTTGCACTCTTTTCTCAAAGAGAGGGTTCTTTTCACCATAACCATAACTCTGAGTAATTACATGTCTCACTTTTAGTCATTCTAAAGATAAGTGCTCTTCTATTGTAACCTGTGACAGATAAATAACAGAAGGCACTTACACCTCTGTCTTTCTAGACACAAAAATCTTTATTACTGTCTTCTGCCTGCTCATTGTTAACAGTTGTTCTGTTGCTACAGTAAATTAGAGGCTGTTTTATTTCACCCAGAGTGGATGACTCCACATTCAAGGCTTTCACAAATTAAGTTACTGTTTAAGGAAATGAGCCAAATAATGATTTTCAAATACAACTCATTGCATTAGGGATTTGCTGGATTGCCTGTTCTAGTGTGCATACTTTTTGATTAAAGGTGTAGAACATAGTTATTTGTAGGAGACCCGACACAGAAGTAGTCATGAAGCTTCATGTTGGTCACAACTTGAATGTGACCAAGGATGGCAGTAACTGTCATGGCAAGTGCCTGCAGTATTAAACCAGCTACTGCTAGCAAACCATTCATGTCATCTGCAGCACAAAAGCCACAAATTGCAACCAAAGAGGAAAAGAAGTCTGATGGGTCTCCTCTGGAGACTGTCCTGTATCCTGGAAGCACACCAGATGGTCCAGCCTGGAGCAAGGTTATTTTGCCACTGCAGCTGGTGTGCTCTGAAATAAATACACCTACTCAGGCTATAAAATCAGGCTTCCACAAGCCTAAAATAAAGTTAGATTAAATATAAACCTGATGAAAGGGAGGAAAGTCAGCAGCTGGAATTCTCCAAACTTGCCCAGAGAGGCACAGTGGTATGTGGTGTTTCACCTCGTTGCCTTCTTTGAATTTGCATTTTTAAAGAGACATTTATGTGAATTTTATTAATGAATAATCCCAAAGTGCTAATGCCAGCTAAGATCACATTTGATTGAATGTTTAGAAAGTGAGCTTGAAGTTTAAAGTTTCACTAAGTCAATTGCTTTGGCTGAAATAATGAAAAGCAGGCATCTTGTGATGTTGGTACAGCTGCAACTTCATGAACGATTGGCTTCTATATACTGTATCTCCAACCAAAATTGATAACAATTTGGCAGCTGCGTGAGTTCCCTCAGAGCAAATACATCTGAAGGTTCGTTCACACATGTGTGCCCTCCGCCCCCAGCGAAAGCTGTTAATGTGTGTTCCTGGAAGCCCGCAACTGCCCAGCCCTGTGGATTTCAGCGATTTTCCCACAAGGAGGTGTTGCTGTAAAAAAGTATTGGAGGTATTGGTGTAAAATCTCTAAAATCTTAATGCAAGTACAACCCTCAACCTCCCTTAAGTGTCTTCCAGTGGGACATTAATGTCCCTATATGATATTTCGAGAAGAACATTTCCTCCCAAACAACAAGGGAGGGTGACACCTACCACAAGCTCTGCTCTGTAAATCCTGGAGGAACACATCATCGTGTATATTTTTGCAGGTCCTTTATGCGCATCTGAACATGGAAGCAAATTATAAAGAAGTCCTAGGGTATCAATCAATGCCATTTCAGTCAAAGACAGAAAAGTTATTGCTACTGAAATCATGGAGTACAAACTAGAATTCGGGGGTTATCTCAAAAAGGCTGTTCTCCAATATCTGTTTGTATTTGCAGTTTTATAGGAGTGAATAATTTAGATTTATTCTTCCTCTCTCTAAAATGATCCAGGGGCTGTTCATTTTCTTCTTCCACTGTGTATTTAACAAAGAAGTCAGGAAGCACTTGAAGAACACTTTAACTGGAAAGAAACCTCTTCCAGATGATTCCACTGCAACAAGAGCAACACTATTAACTGTAAGGAAAAAACACTGTGAAAAAAACATCCTCTTGCTGGTAAAAGTTATCTAAATACATTTATAAGTGGCTTGTAGTTAAGTGAATTGTCAGATTGATTTCAGTGACTTGTACAAAGATTACTGATGGCCTCTCTCAAAAGTTTTGATTACTGTTTTAATAAAAATTTTTGAGAGGAAGTATTTTTTTTCCTCAGCATCAAAAAACACCTGGTTCCTTCAAGACATTTAATGCACCTGTGGGTAACATGGCGTTTTGGTAGGATCATTCACTATTGCTTTGTGTTTTTTTTTCCTTCAGCGATCTCTGAACTGTAACAACACATATATAGAAGAGCCAAATATGTATCGCACAACTATTGGGGAATCCACTGTCTCCCTAGAAAGCACCGTCAGGTCAGCCAAGAGCCACAATAGCTACCTTGCTTATATTCTCAGGTAATCAGGTGGCAGGTGCATGGCTTACAGGTGCTTGCCTTTCCCTTTTCATTGCTCTTGTGGAAAACATAAATGTTTTGGTTCAAATGCTACTTCTTTTATGTCTCAACAGTTCTGGTTTATGTGACTGTAATTTCCTTCTGTGCATTTTCTTTTGCATGCGTCTTCGATGGGGACTTCCAACAGTGCAGTAGTTAACATAACTGTTAGGATAACTATATGGGCTGTGCTGCTTGCCTGTTAAAATTCAGTCATGTCTCAAGGAGCAGGATTTAGATTATTAACTTCAGGCTTTTTCAGAGTGTGATTCATGTGGCCAAAGGCAGACAGCAACATTATGATAACCTGTGTCTTGCTGTAGAAGTGACCACATTGACAATCAAGCACAAGATGGCTAGCGTTCACTGCAGCTGTCTGTGTTTGACCAGAAGAATCCCATCAGCCTGTCTGCCTTGTTGTTAAAAACAGTAAAGTGACCAAGAAAGTTGTCCCCTGTTTTTATTCTCTAAGGGATGAGGCTGCTCATAAGCTCAGTGGATCCTCAAGTCAAGCAAGGGCTGGTCAGACTGAAGCAGATTCCTCCATTTTTCATAGGAATCCATCAAAATCCAATGGTAAGAATTACTTCTAAATGCTTTGACCCAGTTCTGCACCTTTTCCCTCTCAGCACTTTTTCAAAGGCTTCTTTAATAGGAAGAATAATTAGTGTGACTTGATGTGTCTGATTCTTGTTATGCTCTTGGCATAATGAGCTGTGCAGTGGTTCCTTTACTAGGGAATCCTGGAATGGAAATATCATGTATTTGCTTCTATCTGACAGCTGTCACAGCTGTTGACAGTTTCTGGCGTCCCCTTTCTTTCTCACAAATTATGTGCTGTTGCTCTTGATTTTTAATTGGAGATCTTTTAACATTGGAGACCTTGAGGCAATATCCTCTTTTGCTGCTATGTGTTTTGTACAAGAAAATGAGAGGTGTCTCTTGCCTAACTTCCTTTCATTTGGGGTTTTGATGTTAAATTTTGTTGCCTTGTAGCAGTTTTTAAGAGTGCATGTGCAGATTCCTGATAATTCTAGGTACCTTGCTTTGCCTGTGTGTTGTGTTGATTGAGATCCTGTGGAGTTACTGTTCTGCATACTGAACAGGGTAAAAAGTGTCCCCATTCTGTTCTGCACCTCCCGTGCACATAAAGGTCCTGCCCCCTAGCTGAGCCAAGCAGTTGTGCTTCTCATAACTGCTTAGATGGATGCCACAGTCCCTGTGAATTAATCCTATGTACACTTAGGGATGTAGGAGCTCATCCCTGGCATGGCCTGAACCGGACACCTGCCTTTGCTTTCTCCTTGTGCATTTGTCAGATAGATTTGTTCAACTCCTGTCCATACTCTCATCGCTGTACTTCCCCTTTCTGCATTCGTAGAGCACGATTCCGACTCTGACAGTGAACTGTCCCTCGATGAACACAGCAGCTCTTACGCCTCCTCCCATTCATCAGACAGCGAGGAAGATGAGCTCGAGCCAGAGAAAAAGTGGAACACATCCACTTCCAAAAATAATGAACGTGGCCCGCTCCACAGCACACCCAAAGGTACTCCCAGTGCAAGAGGAGAGAAGTGTGCTCATTCCCTTCTTTAAAATAGCTTTAGAGGTGATAGGACAATTTTGCTAGACTAGTAATACACCTGAGACAGCATCCCTACCACTGTGCCTTGCTTTTTCTTCCTCCAAGGTCTTGTTCAAAGGGGTACCTGAGTGCAAGTAACAGGATACTTGAGCAAATCTGTGACTTACAGTGCTCAGACAGACAGCAGTCAGTGTGTTTGTAGGTCAGCAGATGCTGCACAGCCAGGAAAGTCTCATATGAAGGAAGAGGAAGAGGAGGAAGGAGATGGTTATTTTGAGGGCAGGGGGAAGAAATACCTGCCCCTCCTCATGCACTGCGGGCATATGGATTCAGTGGGTTTGGGGCCACCATGGACATAAAGAGTGGGAGATCATTGGCCATTGATATCAGTACTGTGTGGCAGAGTGCAGGCATTTCTAGGGGCAGTTCATCTTGTTCTAAAGGTAAGTTAGCTTAGAGTGACAAATGTCCAGTCTGTATGCTGGTGCTCTGCACAGACACAGCACAAGGTGCCTCAGGTGCCCTCAGCTCAGATGCCAGCATCCCCAGGGAGCTGGTGGAATCGCAAGCCCCAGAGAGCTGGGAGAGGAGGTTTGACTCACACCTCTCAGTAATGGAGCCAGCGGCCTTTCTCTGAGAAGGGTTTGGACACTCTGACATCCTACCAGGCATGTTTTGTGGGTTTTGCTGCACTCCCAGGGCAGTGCAGTCCAGCAAGGATCATCTGAAGCATTTCTCTGATTTCACACACAACTCCTCCCCAGCCACAGGAAACAGGACTGGCTGGGCAGCGGTTGAGAAAACCTATCAAAAGTGGTTTTCGAGCTAGTGTTTCTTTGCATTGCAGTTGATACCCTTCCCAATCATATGAAACCCTATTGGCCCACAGAGTGTGTAGCGGCCAGTGACAGCGAGGACCCCAATGGGAAACAGAAACTCAAAGTCGAGACCAAGGTCAACGTAGAGCTTCACAGGGAAAACCAGGTGAATCACAGCAACGAAGCACCGCAGGACAAGGAGAACGAAGGGCAGCAGAAGGAGAACAGACCTCTGTCCCACCAGAATAACCAGCAGACAGAGCAGAGGAAAGGTAGTGTGGCCTCCCCAGCCTCACAGCCCTCACAGGCTTTATTTTTGAAATAAAGTGGCAAACTAGAAGTCTGATTAAGAATTATAAAATGTCACTTCTTGGATGTGTTCAGCTTGATAAATGAAATTACTGATACATTTCAAAATTCTCGTTATTCCCTCTTTTCTGTAACAGGCATCTTAAAAAATAAAGTCACCTACCCTCCCCCACTGGTGGATAAGAATATGAAGAATCGACTGCGGGAAAAGCTATCAGATTACAATCAGACCACAATCTCATCCAGGACTGCTTCCCTGGGGACAAATGACGTGGTCCGCTCTCCGTCAGACTCGGGGGTAACAGTAAAAAATGCTCGGAGGGAACAGTCTCGAGACCAGCTCAATGGCATGGCCATGAATGTCCACGTGGGAACAGGACATGCTGACAGCTCAGACTCGGAGTAAGTGCCGTATCAGGATGCCCTGGCAGACTTCCCATGGCTCTGGTCTCTCCTTCCACTTTCCAGCCCCAGACTCCCACTGAGCAAGGATTTCACTTGGTGACTGGACAGGAGTCCCTCACCAGTGACTGTCCTGAGTGCTTCTCCATACCATGTCCGCAAGCCATGCTGTTGCACTGATTAGAAGGCCAAAACCACAAGCAAGGTTCCGTGACAGACACCTGTCACTGGTCACCTTGGCATGCTCTGAATTAGCAAGCTGATATGTTACTGACACGCTGGAGACCAGAGCGAGCTAGCTCTGCCCCGTCACCTTGCTGTGGGACTCACTGCACTTGGCACGGTGACCCCTGGTCACAATGAACCAGCCTCCCATGTCCACGCAAATTATCTGTCCCCTCCGTGCCTGGCGAGCTGCCGAGGTCATAGTCTTACCCGGCCCATCACCAGCACAAGGATGGGCCTTTTCCTCTCCCTCGTGCTGCCAGGCATCCAGGACAGCTCAGCAATGCCCACCCATGGCCCCAAGAGCTGTGCATGCCCTCAGGGGTGCTCTGCTCAGGGCTACCCCCTGCTCCTGCTTCTCTGCCCCCAGCTCCTCACCTTCACTCCCCTAGGACCATGGGAACAGTTGTTTTTCCCTCTGTTTTTCACCTGTCCTCCCCTTTTGCAGCAGGGAGAGCGGTTGGGGCCATTAGAGACCTATCACTAATGGGGTACAGTTAATTATGAAGTGGCCAGTACCAGGCACCTAAGGAGGAGGATAGGTGCAGAGCAAACATGGAGCAGCACTTCTTGATGTGTGTCCAGTAAGACCAGCAAGAGCTGTTGTGGGTGTCTGGCAGCCAGCGTGGAGGAGGGTGGGTCAGGGCAAGACCCCAGTGAAGAGGACCCCTGAGGAAGCCCAGTGTTTTGTGGGGGAAAGGCGCTAGGCTGGGGGATGCATGGGGTGGACTTCCAGCTGGGCAGAAGGAAACCATTGCTGGGGCAGGAGGTCCAAAGGCTGCAGAGAAAGTGCCAATCAAGCTAGTGACCCTAAATTACCAGGTGCGCGATTCCCACCCGCTGCATGGCAGTTGTTTTGCGTATTTGTGATTGTAAGCTAAATAAAACATTTAACAAAAGGCTAAACAAGCTTTCAGAGAAAGGGTGTTATCAGAAACCTTGTTACTCATCATAATTCTCACATTGAAAATGAGGACAACAGCCATACTTAAAGTCTGTGCAAATATTTTACACATACAGTCTTCCTTGTATTAACACAAATAATAGTCTCACTCTTTCTCCAAACCAAGAGAAAATTTCTCACCCAGCTTTAACTCTGACATTGTCTCACCATGCTTTAGACACCCATGTTGTCTGGGTGCACAGACCATTCCCAGCTTACTATAAAAAAGCATCTTTGAGATGCTGGGAACTGGCTTTTGAAATATATCCTGATTATCCAGGAAACAGAGATGTCCTTAACAAATAACTACTACTTGCTGCTACCAGGTAATACATTCATCACTGGAGAATAACTAGCCAGCTTCTACTAAACAACTGTTCTATCTGTGCACCTTTTGCATGCCGTAAAACTCTGCTGTTTGACAAGCAGAATACATGAATCTGTCTGAAATACCAGGCTTGTAACAGCTTGTAAGAGTTGTGTGTGAACCTCACATCTTCACCTAAGCATTAGCCAAATACAAGCCCTCTGTAGAGCTTCCTCTAAAGAGCACATCTCTTATGTACTACCTGGAATTGTTACTCCCAGCTGATCTTCCCCTCCAGGACAGCATCCCCCTTGCAAGCATTGGATTGGCAAGGCATGGTAACTTCACGGAGCATGAGCCCTTACTGAAAAAGATAGTGGGTTTGGGTGGAGTGGTTTGCCTGTGCCTGTGTAACCCTAAGCTTGCATTATTACTTCTTCTCGCTAACAGAGGCAGTAACGAAACTTCAATTTGAACATCAGGAAGCTGTGATCGCTGCTGCGCTGTCCTGAACTACTCACTGCAGGGTCGCCGCTTGCCCGCCTTGGACTTCGTCAGAGTGGCCACGTAGTGAGGACAAGATCGGCGTTGATTCTCACACATGGTTTCATGTTATGGCAGACTCCTGACCGCTAATGGCAGAGACACAGTGCCTGGATGCACCTGTGATAAGGCTGCTGTGTGGTACGCTCTGCACGGTGTGAACCTGTGCCAAAAGGCATGGAAATGGCCACAGGGATGCACTGTGAGGGACAGATACCTGCTCGCAGTGCGGACAGTGCTGCAGGGGTTGCTTATCTACTGGGGAGAACCAAGGGAAAATACGTTGTTACTGCAGTGGACCTACAGTAAGTCAATCCATCAGCCTTAAGACCAGCGCCAGGAGATGTCCCTTGTGGAGTTTTGTCCCACTACAGTGTGAACCCTTCGGCTTGCTGGGCTCTAGGGAGGAATATCCCAACAAGTGTCCTTTCGTTTCTATGCCAGCATCTCTTATCTACCCCACTACGGGCATGTCGTCTTAAGAAAAAAAAGTCCTTTATATATATATAAAAAGTGTAGATACGTTTATATATTTTGTATGGTGTTGCTAAAGAAAAAGTTGCTTTGTATATTTTACATTTATACTGATCTTCTTAATTTGATAATAGGTAAGCAATTAAAAGAGGTTTTGATATTTTTTATATGAACATTGCACAATTCTACTTGAATTTGGCATTTGATAAAGTAACTGAGGTTTGCATGGAAACCACCTTAAGATGCAATGCAGTTTTCAAAGTTACACAGTAAAAGATTACATCGAAATCCATTACCGTAATTTATAAGTTTTGTTGACAGATATTGGAACACTTTAAGGACACGGTATGGTTTTTTTCCTAACCTCTTCTAAAACCCACAAAAAATGTTTTGTTTTTTCATTTCTTGGTGTTTTGACCTCTTCTCTCAAGTGCATTGAAATGTTCAGCAACTGAACTTCAGGACTGAAAATAAGTCACATCTTTGTCTAAGATTTCAACACAGTCTTGTCTGGAAGAAGTCAAATCAATATTTCCCTTACCAAGAACAGGAAAACAAGTGGTGTCATTGTATGGTAGGTTTTGACTTTTGTCTGGCTCTGCAACAGAGCTCTGCATGTCCCAAGAAGAGGGTCTTCCTCCCATGGGGCAAGTTCTGCCTCAGGCTCAGTGTTTTATTTTACTGTTAATTTCTTTCCCACTGGAGTCAGCATGCTGCTAATGAAAACAGAAGTGTGAGTTTTTAAGGATGACCAGGTTTCGCTGCTCAGCTCTTTGACAAAGCCCTGGCCTTTGTGGTGTTTCAAAAAGCACATGGAAGGCTTAAGGGTTCGTGTTTCCCACAAAATATCCTGGTTTCTCAAGTAAAGGAAAGTTAAGCGTGGGCTGTTCACTGTCTTCACCTTCCGCACCATTTACAAGAAAAGGAAAAATAAGATGTGAAAAGGTTGCATGCAGCAGCATGGGGCAGAGCTCTGCTGGTGGCTCCCTGTGGTGGGAATATGCAACTCAAAGGGCGACAGTGGTGTGGCCGTGACCAAGGCTTTCAAGAGCTCCTTGCTCGCCGTAGCAGCCCTTCTGGGAAAATATTGGCTTTCATTTGTGTAAGCATGCGTGTGAAAGGGAAAAAACCAGAAAATCAGGCTAAATAAAATGCAGGAAATGAGGAAAAAAATAAATAATATATACTGTAATCTTGTTTTCATTATATGCCTATGCATTTTCAAATGTATCGAGGAGACCTTTGGAAGTGAGGGGGAGGAAGGATGCTGTTCCTTGAAAAATTATGCAACATACTGTGTGAAACTTTCTGACTGAAAAAAGTTTTGAATGTTTTAAGGGTCTGGCACTTGGCAGTGTGTTCAGGCATTGTGTATAACCCACACTAGTTGTTTTTACATCTGTGTATGTATATTTTGTCCCAGTGAGATGTAGGTAGTTCTTTATTTTGATCAGAATTGTTGCAGTAAATGAGCGTCAGTTGTATTAATGACAAAAAAATTAAAACCTATTTTTATGACTTTTTTAAAAACTTTATGGCAGATTAGACACTGGAGGTTGTTGTTTTTTTAACAGATGTATATTTATTAATGTGCAGAACACTGGAATTGCATCACAGATGAAAGGAGAATTTGCAATAAATTAAGAATGTTTTTTTTGAACTTGTGTTCTTCTTCCTCTGGTGGTTGATGTTAAGTGCAGTACAGATGCTGAGGGCCCAAAGGGCATTTCCTGGGGGTTAGAAGGTAGCAGTAGGGGGAATGTACGGGTACCTAGCACTCTCACCAAGGAAGCAGCCACCAGCACTGATCCCTGTGGGACAGTTCCAGCCCCAGTTGGCGTCTCCTGAGGGGTTTGCTCCAGGTGGACACACATGCACACACAATTTGCAAACAGCTCTGCCAAAACCTGCCATTTAACAAACCCAAGCATTAGCCCAAAGAAAACTGTTGTAAATTTTATTGTGTGAGTTCAGTTTTTGGTGAAACACTAATACTTGAGTTTATTCTCAAGTATTGGCTCACTTTACTGTGGAAAAGCAGAAATAAGCCTCAGGCTTTCCCATAAGCAGGGTAGTTACAGGACAGACCAGCCCATGATCCTGTCTCCAGTAACAGCCAACAGCAGGTGTTTAAGAAAAGAGGATTATCAGCCACACATTACACAGTGAGGTGGCCTCAGCAGGGTCCACAGCCCCTAGCACGCTGCAGCTCAGGGGTCCCCAACGGGAGGGGTTGCGCTTGCCTCCAGCAGCCCATTTTTTCCTCCACTAACGTTTCCTGTTGTGTTTTGGACCCATGTAAACTCCTGGTACACAGTGGGTTGCTTGATTGGGTCTCAAGCAGCAATAAAATATTCTTACTTGTCTTTAGCTTCATTCCTGTCCCCTGCAATGGACACTTTTGCTGCCTGCACCATGAGAACAGTGAAGCAATTCTTTCTCAGTCACCTCCTCCAGGTCAAAGAAGAAGACCCGCTCCATCCTAGAGCACTTAAGGTGTCTCTTTCCACCTGAACAGCTCTCTAATTGTCCCTTGTGCAGAAACACTGCTATATCTTTTAGATTCCTTCTTGCCCTTCTTCAACCCCGTACCAGGTCTAATGTAGGCTTTCTGGAGACTGCAGAGAGAGAGAAGAGACCAGAGCAGCCCACAAAACGCAAATGGTAGGCCTACCAACAGCCAAAAAAAAAAAAAAAAAAAAAAAAATCTTCCTGTCCTAATCTCTACAACAGCTTTTGGCCTAAGCAAATAATTGTGAGAAAAAAGACTCCAGAAAGGATGGGCCAGTGGCAGCATCATGGCACAAGAAGGCGGTAGTAACCTGAGTGATCACATAGCCCAGCCCCTCCAACAGCCCAGGATCAGATACACTTGGGGATTTGTCTAACACAGTCTTAAAAATCCTCAGTGACAATTCCAGCATGTCCACCAACAGCCTGTCATAGCCCTTCCCAGCACGATGAGTTAGTTTGTCAGTATCCTTGTGTCATGCTTAGATGTGCAGCTCGCTCAGCTGCAGCGGGTGGTCCTGACAAAGTCTTGCGGAGGGGATGCAGAAAGATCGCCAGCAGCCCTGGTGAGATGTTCTCACCATCCGCACTGTCACCTGCAGCACCAGGGCTGGTCTGGGATGCATTTAGGATCATATGGGCCCCATATGATATCACAGCGTTTGGGCCCCACAGTGTCTTCTGCAGAGCTTCTGCCTTGCCTTTATGCTCCCAGTTGCACATAGCAGCTCACTTTTCCTCCATGTAAGTAGCAATTTGCACTGGACTCATTTTCCATTTTAGTCTCTTGATTTTTTTTTTCATCCATTCTCCAGTTTCCCATACTCATTTTGGATTTTAGTCCTGTCCATGTGGATGCCTGGAGTCCTTTGGCAGCATCTGCAGTCTTTACAAGCTACCTTTTATTTCACCATTCAAACTATGAATGAAAATACCAAGTAAAACTGAACCCAAGAGGGCTCTTGTAAAACTTCCCTTCTTGCCAAGCAAGTCTTGCACCTCCCTCGTATCGATTAACGCGAGACCGCTCAGGCTGGGTTTTCTGTGTGAGAATACAGCCTGCAACAGTATCAAAAGCTTTGCTGAAGACCTGTCCCACCTGCTGCTGCTCCTTTATCCATGGTGCCAGTTGCTGTATTAAAGAAGAAAATTAGATTAGTCTGATGCGTGTGCGTTGCAGGGAGGCCGTGTTAACTCATTCCTGTGTTCTAAATACTTACAAGTGTCTGTGCGTGCCCCCAGGCCCCCCTCGGGGCTCTGTACAGGGCTGATGTCACCACAGGCTGTCCCCTCCTCTTGGCTGGCCACCTGCTGCTGCCGTCCCTCCGCTCCAAGACCACTGTGAACAGGGTGTCTGCTCCTTCAGCCCCAGTGTCCCGTACACCAAGCATTTTGCCTTTGTTTGGAGCCACGGGGAGCAGGGTCGATGTCTCTCTGAACTGGTGTTTTGTGCAGGCAGCCCAGGCTGCTGCGGGACCCCCCCTCTGCCAGGGTCAGGACACACCGCAGAGGTGCAGCGGGGCCGAGCCACCCCATGCCCAGAGGACTGTGCTTAAGCTGAGAGGCGCCCTGTCTCTCTGACAGCTGCTGCATGTGTGTCCCAGGGCCATCCTTGGCTAAAACGAGGGACCCCCCCAGCCCAGCATGGCCTAAGGTGGGACCCACCCTGACTTTCGCAAAGCCATCATTTTACAGCAGAGCCACTTCTGAAATAGAAATGAACTCAAAGCTTGAGCTTTCCAGGTGCTGCCGCTCTCTTTCATTCCAATAGCTGCTGTGCATCCAGTTGGGTGGTTTCCAGTATTAGTTTCCTACAGGTTGGGGTTTCCCCCCCTGCAAATACAATAGCTTGCATAAACACCAACCCTTTAGGCTGACATGTAGGGAAAAATGGTCACTTGACAGCAGCTCTTTGGAAGTCCACCTTGAATGATCTTGTTCAGATGTCAAGCCTGTGTCACGCTTTCCAAGTGAAGAACGTAGAGCTGGCTCTGTGTTTTTGTTAGATACTCATATGCTGGAGGAAACAGTGAGCATTTGAAG